GTCCGGGATTGGTCGAAGTGGTACTGCGCGAAATGTGCGAGGCCCAAGTCCAGGCCCGGGCCAAACTGACTGCAACAAGCCACCCAAACTGAACACTGAGACAGCTCCTTGGTTTGCTGCAGACCTGAAGGTTAATGTTTACCACTACGGTGCTGCTGTGGCTGCCTGCGAGCCAAGCGGTGACTGGGAGCGAGCTTTCAGCCTGCTGCGACAAATGCACAAGATACTTGGCTTCAAGTGCCGTGTTGCATCCGAATGGGTCGTCGCCGCTGCACCGTCACCCCATCCGTTGCTCCTAAGGGCAATTGCATACCCCGACCGGATTACCTACAATGCAGCGATTAGCACATGCTCCAAAGGTGAGCAGTGGCAGCTGGCACTAGTACTGCTGCAGACAATGGTGAACGAGGACATTGTAGCAGACAACTTCAGCTACAACTCGGCTGTGTCTGCATGCAGCGAATGCACCCAGTGGCAGCGAGTCTTCTACATTTTGCAGAGGATGCCCGTTGATAATGTCCTGCCAGATGCCATCACGCAAGCGCCTCAGAAGCGAAAACTCCAGCAGGTGTGGCTCATGGCATCTCATGGGTTCAGGCTTGTTGTATGGCAGCCAGTGAGAATGAAGCACCCCTTGCCAAGGTTCAATGGTGCTATAAGCGCATGCTCACGGGTTGGCAGGTGGCAGATGTCGATTTACCTGCTGGATTCGATGCCTGCGCGGAGGACACCAACCAGCAAGTTCAGTTTTGGAAGTGCGATCGATGCGTGTGGCTGTGACAGCTTTCTATGGGACAAAGCCCTGATGCTCCTGAAGAAAGCATCTCAGGTCGGCGGTTGACAGCGTTTAAGTGACTGGTGCGATTGTAAGGGCTAAGTCTTGTTTGTTTGTCTTTTTTGGGTTGTTTTTTGTTTTGTTTGTTTGTTTGTTTGTTTGTTTGTTTGGTTCTTCGTTTGTTTGTCTTTTTTGTTTGTTTGTTTGTTTGCTTGCTTGCTTGCTTGCTTGGTTCTTTGTTTGGTTCTTCGTTTGGTTCTTCGTTTGTTTTCCATTTTGTTTCTTTGTTGGTTTGTAACATTGACAGGCTGACCTTGTACCGAACATGACAATGTTGGGTGCAGCCATCAGTGCCTGCGACAAAGCCGAGAAGTGGCAACACGCCCTTGGGCTGTTGCAGGGCGTGTTGGCACAGCGGCTGGTGCCGGACGACATCACGGCCAGCGCTGCCTTGAGCGCCTGCGCGAATGGCAGCCAATGGCAGTTGGTCCTCCACTTCTTTGAGCAGCTCACGACTTGGAATCTGACACCCGACAAGGTGATGCACAGTTGCCGCATAAAAGCATGTGCCAAAGGAGCGCAAGCTGATCGCTCTGTGCACTTCTTGTCGCTCATGAGCAGCGGCGCCGTCCTGCCGAACGAGATTTGCTACACGGAGACTTGGCGCGCATGGCAGACGTTTCTTTTTGTTGATTGCCCCGAGCTTGTGCAGCTCTGCAGTTGTTTGTGCGTCGGCAAGTCGCATTGGAGGCTGCAGCTGTCGCTTGTGGAAAGGAGGGTCGCTGGCAATTGACCCTGGAGCTGCTGTATAGGATGTCAGCTCAGCGGCTGATGCCGTCTGAAATCTTGTATCATATCGCTGTCACAAGCTGTCAGCAAGCTAGTCTTTTGCGATCACCACTTATGTTATTGCAGCGCCTGTCGTCCAGGACATTGTACAGCCTGGCATCAGCTGCAGGTGTGCACTCGAACCAAACATGCTTGCTTGTGCTGGCTCACCCCTGTGTTTGCACGGATTGGCCGCACTTTCCAATGGCCATGCGGTTGCGTGCTTGATGTGTGGCAATGCAGAGAAGCAGTGCTACATGGCTTAGGGCCGCTGGCCAATCTCATTGAGAGTACTTCAGCCAAGCACTCGGTGAAAACGCTTTTGCCTTCTCCAAACCGTAAACATGTTGACCCGAAGGTCAATACGGCGATTGAGTGCGGAGGCATCATGGCCCACTGTGAATGCTGCGACTGGGTTGGACATGGCCCCAGCCTTATCCTCGCTGGTCTTTGAACGAAGCTGAGGCACTCAGTTCCTGTGGCACTGGCAGGAGGGGTCTGAATCGAGCCTTGGAGCTGGTGCTTGGATGCGTCAGAGTGGAGGACCTGGAGGTTTTCCATGAACCTCCTGGATCCGCTGACAGGCTCGTGGCTTTTGAAACCCGGCGTGTCCAGCACTATGCCCTGCAGGTGATGCGTCCGAGGAGCAGGGCTGCATAACAAGCGTGTCGTGTACTGTGACATGTTCTGACTTTGCCTCCAGGAAAGCCGACCAGGGGTAGCAGCGACTTTGTTTGCGTCTTATTAAATGGTTATTCCTGTTTAAGTAGCGAGTGCTGCCACGCCTTGGCTTGAGCCGGCCTAAGCGCTAGAACTGCCATTCCAAGGCTTGCCCTTGCCGAAGAAGGGCAGTGGTCAATCGCAGCAGGCCTGTTGGACAAGCTTTCAGCAAGGACCTGTGTTGGAGGTGTGCTTGGCGCGCGTGCGCTCCACTTTCGTCTTATGGTCTCAGATCAGCTGGTCAAGACTTGTAGGAGCGTGAAGCCCGACATAGCCAGCTGTGGTCCGTTGCTGCCCGCTGCCCAGACTGAAACACGCACACACAACACGTCACATATCAACTTGATTGCCAGCGAGGATGTATTGCGAGCAAGCAGGAAAGAACTGCGCTGCCAAATGCCTGGCTTCAATGTCTTCATTGAACTCTACAGCTCCCTAGCCGCCCGGCAGGACTTGTTGGTCAGGAGAATGTGCTCCTCACCTTGGGCGATGTCGGCATGGACGTCGGGGCCTTTGCTGAAGACTTGCATTCTGCACGCCTTTGACCTGGCGAGGCCCAGGCCAATCTCGCCCAGTTGGCTCAAATGGTGGGGAAAATGTGCGAGGGAGCAAACGTGGCGCTGCGGCTGAGGCTGTGAATGAGAGTAGCTTTTGCATTGTGCAACAGACTGTGCTACAGTAGGGTGCGGCCGTGTAGGGCACTGCTTGCGATTTGCCGACCCCTTGCCTTTGCGTCGAGGTCGTCCTCCTCCTCAAAGAGGGGGGAGGTTAGAAAAGGGCTATGCCACGGCCATGTTGGGCCGCACCATCCGCCCTCCAAGCCGGAGCATGGAGTTGCCGGCGGACAGTGAATGGATCCCGCTGAGCTCGCTGTCACCTTTGCCTGTGCTTCGCCCAGGGAAGTCCCGGGAGCGCCGGAAGGGAGATGCACGGAAGCGCTTTGCTCGCAAGGCGTTCAGCCGACCAAAGTCCTGGCGAGATCGGCCAGCCAGTGCGCTCAGCCATCTTTCGCATCTCTCTTTGCCATCCCCGCGGGAGCAAGACGACATGCTCTCGGCGTCCACAGTGCTGCGAGCAGCACTGGCTGGAAGCCTTACCCCAAGTCCCCCATTGCAAGATGCCCCTATTTGGAGCCTATGTTCGAGCAAAAGCAGTGACAAGCGGGAGAGCTCTCCATGCTCAGAAGTGGGCGAGTACAATCTGTCAGCAACAGGTTTGACACGCTGCGGCTTACAGCCAAGAGTACCATTGAGCACCTTGCAGCAGCTTGGCTTGATTTTGGGACCAGCTTTCAGTAGCTGCCACCCTTTTGTTTGCCAAGGTTGCTCGAGGCTGAAGTGGCTGGCCAAAATGCGGAGTGCCATGAGCCCTCCGGCGCGTCAGGGCAGGTGGAAAGATCGCACAGCAATCGCCTGCCCTGGATTGAAGGCTCGTCCTTTGCATTTGACCAGAACAGAGTTCGCCCATGGCTTGGACCAAGGAGCTGGTTACAGGGTGGATGTTGACACGTGTCGCCCAGCAGGCACTTCGTTTGCGCAGCTACACAAAGCCTGGTTGCATCGAACAGGCGCTGAGAACATGAAGTGGCAAGGCGCTTGTGTCAATCTGCCAGATGCAGAGCTTCCAGAATTTTGGCTGCATTTGCTCATCATATTTCTCCTTCGGTTCATGCCACGAGCTTATGAGTCTCTGAAGGACGCGGCGCGCCTCAAGCATCCAACGAAGAGCAAGAAGCCCAAGCTGCCTACTCACTTGCGACCTCGCGCTCATGTGGGTGTGCCTGGCGCTTTGTCAGCCTGGGACCCTGGAGGGTATTTGTTGTGCTGCTGCCGTTCCTGGATCCCGTTCGAGCTTGTCTCAAAATGGGGGCCCCCCTGCAGTCCCCCTTTAAACAACAACTCCACCAGCGTATCCCCGCCTCAAGCTGAGGAAAAAAGTACGGATGAGAGGCGCAGCTGCACCAGACCGCGACGGAGGCAGCCAGCTGACAGGGAGGCGCGCGTGCGCTGTGCAAATTTACCTCACATCGGCAGGGGAGCACTTGGCCAATCAGCGAGCGCAAGCTGTGTATTGTTCACTGGAACGCCAGATTGAAAGGCCTTGGCTCAAGCCTTCCCAACTCTCCTTGGTTTGTTGGCGTTTTGTTTAGCATTGTAGAGAGTAGGGCGACCCGAGTGCATGATGCAGTCCAACCAGTAGCCAAGTGCGCATGATTGCACTTCGACACTCAAAAAATTCAACAATTGAACAAGGGGAGGAGAAAGAGCTACCTTGAAACTGGCTAGCAGCTGGTTCTGGTTGGGCTGATGCAGCCAACGTGGTGGTTAGGCGTACTTTTGAAATGGATGCCCACGCTAGCCAAACCAGTGACACAGCCTTTCCACACATTGTGCCAATTCCCCAAGCGATGCGTAGGGGATAGACACTTGTCAATCTTCATGATGTCAGTGCAGAGTCCTGTTCGAAAATGGGTGCCCCTTTGCCTTACATTTATGTGAAACGGGCTCACGTGCATAGCTTGTTGACATTATAGGTTTTTTGTGCGTTGCTGGCCTGATGTCAGGTCAGAAGATTGCAGCGAGCACAGTTTGCCCGCCATGATTTTGCTGGTTTGGCATTCACAACTGCAAAGTTCTGCTTTTGTCAATGTGGCAGGTCGCTTTTGTGATGGCAGGGTGATGCCCAATTTTGGTGCGGCCGATGCAGCGCGGCTAACACAGCAGCGCTGCTTGGAATTTGCGCTCGGCAACCAAAAAGACGATCATGAAACCCCGGGGCACCCAGCGGCTGTTTTTACTTGAATTTGTCACGCGGCTCATGCTATGATGTGCGAGATGTTTGAGACAACAAGCAATCGGACTGAGCTGTCCATGCAACCTGTACCTTCAGGGGGGTGTCACGTCTATTTAATCAAAAAAAATGGTGTGAAGAAAATATATTTAAATAATCCTAGTTATTCAATCGAAATTCGAATAATATTTATTTGTATAGCAGTGAATTGAATATGTTCAAGGTTATATTTTATTCTAATTAAGATGTATGTCCCGTTACCTCAGCGTATTTGTCGTCGATTAGGTTACGGGGCCGTGTGGGGCGTGGCCGAGCCACGGAAGCAAGACGATTGTGCTACCTGTTTTTATGGATCACGTGCATTTTATTCTACACAAGACAATTCCCCTCTCCTTGAAACTCCTTTATATACAAACGAAAATATTGATATATAATAATTTACGAATATATTTAAATTATATTCATAATGAATATATTTTAATATATTGTATTTTGTTTTAATTTGATAGGAATTTGGATTTTATTGAAATCGAATATATATATATATATATTTTTGATTGGAATTGATTTGATACTTTCTAATATGGTAATTTAAATAATAAAATATATAATATTTTTTTATATTAATTACTGATTTTTTTTTTCCACATTTTTTTTGTTTTTTTGTAATATTATAAAATGAATATATAAATATATATTTGAAAAATAACTAAATTATATTGATTAATATATAAGGAATATATATATATAAGGTTATATAAATTCTTGGTATAAATAATTGATATAAATAATAGATTATACTATAATATAATTTGGAGATATATTTTTATAATATTTTTTTATGATTAATAATTTAAAATTTATTTTTTATAATGGGAATTATATAATTTAATTTTTTTAATTTATTTTGTTTATTGATTTTATTATTATTTTAAATTCTTTTTATAACCGTTATAATTTATAAGGTATGTTTTTTTTATAAATATTATATTAATTAGTTTAAGAAAAGGAAACTTATAGAGTTTAGAGGATGAATAACCTATAATATAATAGGTACGTTAGCCCAAATCTTCAATTCGAGATGCTCGAAGATATAACCGATAAAACAGAATCGGGAAATCAAATCTCTTCCACCTATAACCCAGCCCAAACACACAAAAAGGCCAAGAATCTCGATCTAACATACATAAATTCGTAGGTTAACAAGGAATAACAATTCTACGAAACACAAACTAAGGGAAATAATAAAGGACACCGTCACGTATCAGAAATGATCGAAACAATCATCGAGAGCAATAAGACAGCAATAGACAAAATTAAGATAACCAATTCATCATTCTTGGAACACATCTCCAAAATCACCTATACAGGCCTTAGGATACCGTCACGTATCAGAAATGATCGAAACAATCATCGAGAGCAATAAGAAAACAATAGACAAAATCAAGATAACCAATTCATTATTCTTGGAATACATCTCCAAAATCACCTATATAGGCCTTCCGATGCCTTTCACATGCCAAATAATGATTTCTCTGCAATTCAAATGAAATTCGAATTCTAAATTGGATCCATATAATCCCAAGATATAGAATATGTATTTTATCTACCATACGATTGAAAGAATCATTTTTCCTCGGTATCTAATCCCCCTGTATTTTCCTAAACCAGAGGTTCACAACCAATATTTTAAATCACATATCGATTCCACAAATCATCATAAATACGTTTATGTTCGGCATATTACCATATTGCTGCAAATGATTCCTATGCCGCTATTCCTAAGATATAAAATTGGAAAGGAGATGTGACCGACATATCCAAGGCTAATCGCGGAACACGACGCCAAGACAATATCTTATAATTAAATATATATATATATATTAAAATCCAATTATTTCTAATGTATAATAGTATCCTTTACGACTATTTCATTTTGTTTGTCTTTAGTAAAATTATCATTCTTTAAATTACAAAAGATTTTCATATCCTATTTCCATTCTATTATTAATATTCTCGAATATCTCGATTTGATGATTTAATTTAAATTGCCTATTATATTCTAGGAATTATCGAATATATTTTATAATACCAAATATATATATATTTTAATATTCGATTCGAAAATTCATTAATCCAAATATCCTATAAAATAATTAATTCAATTCAAATATTTAAATTAAAATATTTAAAACCAAATTATTAAAACAAAACATTTTAAAAATAATTATTAACAAAAATACAAAAACCTATTTATAAAACAAACATAAAATACAACAAATATCGTGTTAACATCAAACCAATACTCGATTTCTTTAATCGAATTTCAATTCAAATATAGCTTACAATAATTAAATAAATAATTCATTATATATATAAATTAATTAAACCATTAATAATATATAATAAATATATAATATTTTTTAAATATTTAACATTTTTTAATTCTTATATATGTCCAAAATTTAACCAATTAAAACAACAAACCAAACTTAAAATACTCAAACAAATTGTCCCAATTAAAAAATTAAACATATTATTAATATTATTATTAATTCCCTCGATTCAAGGATTTGGAAGTGTGTGGTGTGTTTCTGAGAATTCCTGTAATAAACGGTTACGACGGAAGGGAGGAAAGACACATAACACCCGCTCACCTCCATTCGCTCTCATGTCACCCTTTCATTTCCCTCTCCGTCTCCTCTCTCCTTTCGTTCGTGAATTGGAAAGGAGAAAGGGAATGATAAAAGGGAGATAGGATGGGTGAAAGAGATCCCATATAAACCCATCCCCATCGATCATTTCATTCCCTTACCATCCAAGCCGTTCACTTCCCTCTGGTCAAGGCTTGCAAATAAAGGCATATAGGATCCACTCACCAGAAATTAACTTGGAAATAATGGATCCTGAGCGATTGGGTCTTTCTTCTCTCACTCCCACACACCCAACCTCATTCCATCTCCTATTAATCTCTAAATCAAGATATTAGCCGGAAGGAATGAGGCTAGACATCTTATCTTTTCCCGATTTTTATCTTTCACTGCCGGGACCTACCTTTCTCTTTATGTCCCATTTCCCTCAACCAAAGGTAGGTAGGAAAAAGATATAAAAAAGAGAAAGATGCCAACCATCACATAAAAATTAGGAAGAAAAAATAATAATATTAGGTTGTTTAAAAATATTTCCTAATCCTAACTTCCGACTTCCCAAGACTCACAATAAAACCGATCATCCCTTGTTCTCTTCTCTTTTCTTTTGCCTTTCAATTCCTCAAACCATATAAAAAAAAATCCAAAAAAAATAAAAATACGAACAAAATAACAAGATTTCCTCACAACGAATCAAAAAAATCACCCACCCTTCCATACAATCAAATAACATAATAAATGAATGGTCGAAAGAAAAAACATCTCTCTCCTATATATGTTTAATGGATTCATATCTTCATTCCAATAAACATACAAGCAATAAAGACATAACACACACTTCCTTCCTTATCCACTATCGATAATTAATAAGCTTAAAAATAAATAAATAAAAAAAAATAAAAAAATATAAAATAATAGAAGAAATAAATCTCTTCATTTATTTATAATTCCCAATCCATCTTTTTTTCTCCATTATTCCCTCCTTTATATATATTACCTCTCTCCTCATCCTAAATCGAGAAAACTAACAACAAGAAAACAACAACAACAAAAGAAATACCATACCATATCTTTCTTATCACCTCATATTTCCTATTAAAAAAAAACACATATCTCCTTTCCATATCTATCCCTCCCACATCTCTTCGTGAAAAATAAGAACATAATTATATATATATATTTATTAACAATACCAATTCACATATAAAATCTATATCAAAATTTATTTTAAACTATTATTTATTTAATTTTACATACTCATTACATAAAAACCAAACATATCAATCTAGATTTACTTTTGAAAATACCTTTCATCATAATAAACCTCTTCAAGCCATTCCAAAATACAAAATTCCGTCCAAATAATAAATTCCAAAACCATAATCTTTAAATTATAAATACCTTAGTTAAATAATTTAAATCCTTATTTATCATCAATATATTTAATCAACCATATTTTCATTATTTCATATTCATATATTTCATATATATATATATATATTCATATTGTTTTATATAACTATATAAAAATATCAAATCATAAATATATAATTATAAATTGTTATATATAATTTCATTAATAATTTCATTAATACTTTAATAATATACAATTTCGATTTTATTATGAATCATATATGTTTGTATATATATATATCATGAAATATGTGATAGGAATGTTGTTTTTATGGTCTGCATTCAACATCCATTATAAGGGGGAGTCCCTTACATCCCAGCAATATGACCGGGAGACACGAGGAGTAACTCAGTTATGCATTTCTTTGACCTTGTGAGAGTCTCACAATACCAACTTGCCATGGCAACACCTTTCTACCTGTTCCGCATGATTCTGGCCATCGTGGACTACTGCAGGCAATGGGCGCTCGTTTGCCAGACATCCTCTCGCAAACGCTCTGCGACTTCGGAAGGCTGGCTGGGATTGGCCTGCAAAGCCTTTCGCAGTTCAACAAGTTCCTGCGGTCCCGATCTTGATCTCCCTGGCCCCTTCGCCCTGGCGTAGAGGCTGCTTGTAGAATGCATCAGAGTCAACGAATGGATCGATGACACGTGTGTGCTTGGCAGCCCAGATTGTACCTGACAGCTGTTCAAGTTCAAGGTGTGAAGCTCCTGCTGCAAACTCGCCACCAAAGGCGTGTACGCAAGAGATGTGGCCAGGTCCGCTTGCTCCCGTGGGTCCTCCTGCACATTGTAAAGGCAGCCTGTGCTACAATCCACTTGGAAGACGTATTTCGAGATATTACGGACAGTGTCAATCTTATGTCCGAAAAGGTCGGCAACGGGACTGTGAGTTGTGCTGCAGTTGGGCCACACAGGGCCTGGCCAGAAGCTGTAGTTCTACAGACTTCTTGCTGAGATGCAGCGCATCAGGGTGCCCGTTGGTGCCGGAAAGAATGTGTGCCCCTTGAGGGTGAGACGACACAGCGACTGAAAGCGGTAAGCCGCTTGAAACTCTAGTGTAAAGGGCAAACATAGCTCCCATTTTGTTTCAAGTTCAAGCCCTGTCCTTCTTGGCATCAGCGGCTGCATGGTCAAAGGAACTCACACCAGCACTGCTAAATTTGTGGCCAGGGTAGGTAAGCCCATGAGCCCGCGGCGTTCAAGTTAGTTGCGAGCCATGTGATTTCAGATGCCGCAGGCCGGATTGATGCTTTCCTGCAAATGCAGCCACAGAGGCTTCCATGTTAGAAATGCTGCCACGCAGCCAGCGACAGAGCTACCGCTGACATGCGACCATGCTCGAACATCAGCAGATGCATGTTTGTGAGGCATTGTAAGCATTCCAACGGGCGTATGGAATTTTGTGCATGCCGGAGTTCAGGTCTGCCTCACGGGGCGAATGCCAGAACTGGGATCTTGAAGAACGATGCCCTCGAAAAGGCATGCCCATTGTTTGCTGGTTTGAACAGGTTGAGGATTTGCTGCAAGGCACTGGCTCAAAATTGAAGGTTAAGGTAACCTTCAAACTTGAGCCAGTGCCTCGCATATCCTCAAGGTTTGGAGCTTGCCGGTTACAGACATGAGCCTCCGCTCCTTTGCCATTTGAGCTTCTGCTGAACCCCGGACTCAGCTACCAGCTGGTCTAGCTTCTTCAAGTAAGACTTTGGTACACCCAAGGGCGTGCACACCAAATGGGGTGGTTTTTTGGCATCACGATTCTCGAGCATTCTCAAGGCATACTGCAAAAGCATAGCATCCTCATGGCAGCTTTCTGTCATGCACCGGTCGTCCTCACTGCATCCAATTTCGGATACGGGCCCTTCAATCCGCTCATCACAGCCTAACTCTGCCCAGCTTGGTTCCCACGGCGGACCCAGACTCTGACCAACGTGACCAAAGTGCGTCAAGAAGAAAAATAAATGGGACATCGTAAGGATAGACATGCTTTGCAAGGCGCATTATGTACAAGCATCCTGCTGAGCAAAGTGTGCCTGGTTTCACTTCTGCTCCGCCTGTGGCTTGAGCCAAACAGAACACAATGCCCCGCGCAAGGGCAGCAAGCGTCATACATGGGTCTGTGCAGTACACGAGGGGACCCATTTGACCAACTGAAGAATGTTCCTTGCCAACCTCGCTTGAAAGCAATCGTGCTCCAAATGAAAGTTTACTATTAGCAAACAATCATATGTCTAGAGAAAGCCCTTGCAAACTTCCAAATAGATATACAACATCAACACATTCCTAGTATAGTAAACCAGTAAACCAGTCAATCAATCTAATACAACAACAATGGACACACATATCGTGAAACTAATCCTCTGATCAACCATGACAAGTTGCTTGTGACAGCTTCAGCAACAGCTGCATATGCATGAGGAATGTTGAGGAATTATGTTATGTATTTCCACGTTGCATGTTGCAATGTCAACGCAGAAGTGCAGCTCCCACTGTACATGAAGCTTTGGAAACAGCAGTGCAAACAAACCAAATCAGCAAAGGTGAGCCTCTGTACAAGAAGCCGCTGAGATCAGAACTTGGTTCGGGCTTTCATTTTGGAGGGGACGGATTTCTGGATCATCTGCTTGCTCAGATTCTGGATGCAGGCCTGGCGCTCGCCCTCCGTGCGTGCCTGGCTCAAAGCGACCCTGTGCTTGGACACTTCCTCGGCGCCAAAGTTGTGCGCAGCAACCTGAGAGCACGGACTGGCAAGCAATCCAAGCATGAGGGCTCTGGAGTGCCACGTTCTGCTTGCTCCCTGAAATCTGGCGTTCGCTTGGAAAACCAGAACTCAGGGATGCGCTTGAAACAAACCGCTGGCATTTTTGGCCCGACCCACGCCTGCATAATGGATTCTAGCGAGGTGTCAATGCGCGTCAGCTCAATCCAGTGGCCCATGCTGGTGACAAGCTGCCCGCCAGATGGATATGTGACGGCCACGTGGCCTGCAGCGCCTGTCTTCCTCAGGTCGCCCCTCACGGTCTCGCAACGCATTGCCTCCGGCATATCGCCACCAGGCCATTGGCTTACCACTGTAAGAACCTTCAGCTCGTAGGCATCCGTGGCTCGTCTCCTGGGATTGATGGTGTAGAGGATGGTGCCACCAAGCGCACCAACCACTGCTTTGCCATCCTTTGCGCAAAGCTCTCCCACGACTTGAAGCTGCCTGAGAGACCGAAATACAATCCAAGTTGCTAAATGGACAGTCATGGTCAAACAGCATGCAATTCAATTCCATGCTGCAATACTCAGGTAAAGCAGACAAGTTGCTGCGGCACTTCGCTGTCCTTCAAGTTCTCAGGAAAGAACTCCAGCTGAAACTGATTATCGCATTCACATGAGAGGCGCACAAAGGGGTTGGGACCCAAGAGCTCTTCTGACCACTCAGCAATGAGAGCCTTCAGACTGAAGTCTGAGCACATAACGGTGAAGCCACTGCGCAAAGCAAAGCTGATCAGGCAAATCGTGGGACTTGGGTTTGGGCTTGGCGTACGTCTCCGCTGCCGGAAACCGCTTGTGTGGAAGCCCCCGTCGTCGCAAGCCCCACAGCACTCCCAATTCAATGTCACACTGTCAGCCGGTACGCTGCGAATGTCTTCTACCAATCTGGCCCAAGAGCCAGAAGGAGCTGAGCCGCTCGACAAATAGTCTTGGAGGAATCCAGCTTCGCTCAAGTCCAGGGAGTATGTGGACACTCTCTCGCCTGTCACAGTTTCAGGACGGACTTCTCGGAAGTTCTCGTCGTAGGATGAATCAGCGAAAATGGTGACTATAACTCCAACCAGCTTGTCTTGGGCACTTTCCACATCACTGAACAGTCTCTCAGGTCCCTCCTGTCCAGTTGTTCTCCCGCAATCCAGTGTTTCGGAGTCGCTGCCGCTGTCAGAAACCTCCGATCAAAATGACAAATCTTCGAGTCAAGCAAAGACAGCACCTAGCAAAGGCTGGCCGGCCATGCTCTCTTGGGGGGGGGGGAGAATCCTTGTGGAGCCAACACTTTCTATGCGCATTGATAGGATTATGTGACTCCTCTCTCGCAAGTCGCACCTTGACCGACTTCGCCTTCTTAGTAAGCTTCGGGAAGCACGGCATGGACAGTTCCAAGCTAAAACACGCTGTGCCGCTTAGAGCTCACACAGCTGCGAAGCACATCACTCTCTCCATGTAATTTCCAGCTTTCTGCACATTCTTGCGGTCTCTGTCATTGTGATTGACAGGTCAAGGTTCACACTGCTGCATGCAGGACAGCTTCTCATTTCCCTGGCATCTTGTTCGGCTCGCTTTGGAGCCACATGGAGGGCTAAGGGCCAAATTCCGTGGTCACACCCTGTCATCATCGAAGTGCCACTTGGACCTGCGGCTTCAATGAGGACATCGCCCATGCCAGCTGCTGAGGCTGTGGCAGCTTTGGCGACCTGCGCCCAACCCTGGCCACGTAGGTGGTGTCGTCCTGCCATCTTTGATATATTGGGTGTCTTAAAACGGGGACTAGGTTTCCATTTAACCGCTGTACTCTTGCTGTCCTGCGGCCTCACCTTGCTCTGTGCGCTGCTGAGCATTGAGACGATGCTCATGCAAACAGCATGGACCTTGGAGCCATGGCCCTTGCCATGTGCTTCCCAAAGGTTGCAAGATGTCCCAAGCAAGCGGCTGATAAGGCGGGACTCCACGCATCGTAAAGAATGGACAGGCAGATGTGCCTCAGCCCAGCTGACTGACGTGCGACTGGTCAAACAAACTGAGCCGGCCCGTTGGAGTAGATGTGCGGATGCATCGGGGAGACACCCTCAAAGACCACCTGCAAAGCTGCCAGACACACTGTGAAAAAAGGCTACTACGGCCTCTGGACTCTCAAATGGATAGCCTCAAATGGCCAAGCTGATGTAAAGACTGTCAGAACAAGGCGGCTTTGAGGAAGCAGCGGTCTGAGAAGTGGAAGCGGAGCATAAACGTCTCGCCCGCATAGAGCGTATCAGGGGCTGCGCAGGGCACATGGCAGATCAATGGGCCAAAGAGACCCCGCCTCCGAACACTTGAACCCGACAGGTGTTGGAATCAGGAAAGTCGTGCAGGAATATTCCATCCTGGAAATTCACCCTCCCTGAACTCGCAGTTGGGTATGCCCAGCTCTGGTCTTTCCGCGAACACTCCAAGCATTGGAGTCACGAAGACAGCATTTTTCTCAGGCATGTCTGCAGAGCCTCAGCACCACGAGCTTTCAGGTCCTCCAACTCCTCCAACAGGCATCCAAATCGATCCCGTCACCCCGTGACCCGCACCTTGTTCAACCGCTTGGAAAATGGTGTCTGCGGAGTGGATAGTCCAAGAAGATGCGGAGGCTTGAGACCCTGCCAAGCGCATCAATGAATGAAACAGCTAGGGGGTACGTACCACGTGTGAGCTGGCCTGTCTCGCCATCGGGGCATGCAGCGGGCCCGGCTCACCTGCGGTTTCAATCAGCCCGCCTCTAGCAGCTCAGTCAGAAGGCAGAATCAGGCCTAAGTTGCCTCATCGCCGTTTCCATGGGCTTCGGAGCGCGGCAATGAATTGCAAAGCCAGGAATTGGGAGATTGTCTTTCTGGGCTGCATGCAGGGATGCAACACGTTCTGCACTCGTTGATAGCTGTTATCTCCAAGCTGCTGCTGAAAGAGACAATCTTTTCTTCTTCGGGCAGCTAAATGTGCTGACCCCGCGATGTCATTCCTAGACCTGAGCTCACTCTGCGATCTCCCGCGTCATCTATGTGCACAAGCTCACAAGCTCTCTGCATGCTCCGCTGGGCATAAAGCTCCGTTCCTTCCTCAGCCCGAGTCTATCTCAGTCTATCGAGATCCTCCTCAGAGTTCCTCGCAGTGCCTGAACATGGCTTTGAGCCTGCAACGACAGCCAAGCCGCTTCTAACAACACAAGCACTTGTCCTTTGGCTGAGTAAGCATGGCCGTGCTGGGCGAGTTGCTCACCAAACCCGCAAAACCAGCACTTCAAGCTGCAATGATTGCAGCGTGACAGTGAGAAAGCTAGGAAACGCCCGAGTTTCGTGTAAGTTGGTGACAGGACATGGTTGATCCTATGCATCATTGATTGCATGGATCTTCTAGCATGCCCTGCAAACCTGCAAACTGCTAAGAGACTTGCAACTGTTCAAGCACAGCAAACAGCTTGGCTGAGTGCGAGCTTGAACAAGTCCTGGAGGCCTAGAGCTCCTAGAAAGAGCCACGGTTGTCATTTGAGTGCGAGCAATGCACAAACTGCTATGTTTGGACTGCCAGCAATGCTTCAACTATCCTCATCAACATGTGTAAGGAAGTTTGTTAACAAAACCCGTTGCCCATTGCCCACAGGCTCCGTGTGGTCGGCACCGCATCGAAACGCGAAGTCACTTCAACACTTCCAAGCAATGTACTCCTTGGAATAATAGCTTGATGGGAAGCAAACACCACGGCGCCGACTAAAGGACACCCAGAAGCAGAACCTCCGAATCTTTCATGCCAGATCCAGCCTTGCCCATGATCTCTTTGGCCAATGCATCAAGCCTGGGGAGCCTCACTATGTTTACAACGCGTCCCAAGGAACCCTGATTTCGGTATATGCCCATACAGTCGGACCGTGAGAGTCTGCTGCAATCCCAAATGCGCTTTCTCTTGCCATCGCTCCTGAGGTCCCGCCCGTAAAAAGTTGTGCCCGACCCAAAAGCACGGGCACGGGAGCTGCTTTGGCACCCGGTTCCGACGGCTCCGAAGGAACTTGATGAATCTTCACAAGGCCAGCAGCTCCCTTTGGTGAAACACGCAGGATGCCGCAATGCTTCACACACCAATACCTCACTTTAGAAACCAATATTACTTCATGGCTGGGTGACAGGTTACATATTTGAGCCCCAAACACATGAAAACTGATCAAGGGCATGCTTCAAACTCTTTTTATCTGCGACCGTGCCCATCCATGATGTGACACACTGGGCATTCCTGCTCTCAAAATACGGATCATCTCACTTGTCTTGGAAGCCCCAGCTAAAAGCCTGGTTGATTCAGTACACAGCATCTCTCAGGTGAACGTAGTGACAGACCCCTCTGGCCTTTTGCTGGAACAGCATTCTGCCAAACCTCACCACCATTGACATGTTCTCAGATTTGCCTGCATCCTGGAAAGCCATAGCATTTCTTCCAAGATCCCAACGCCGCCAGGGGGTCGTCCTCCCACGCCGACCTGGGTCAAACAAATGCCCAGGATGGGGGAAAGCAACACCTGAGATTGTCTAAGTTGATCGACCTAATATTCCAGCAAGATTCTCGAGCGACAGCAAGCCATTCGGTTAGACTTTTGCGAATGTGGACATCCTCAAATCCCAATCCATGCAATGCAAGCTATGTCAAAGACCCTGCACCGGGGAAAACAATCAACGATTCTCAATATGTTTTTTTTTGGTCATGCCGGTGAATCAAGTTAGGTAGTTGGGTGCCATTGTGAGCTCCATTGTTGGGTTATTCCTGGATTCATCCCAATGGCTACGTTGACTGGCATTGCAGTCTTGGATGTCTCGCGGCAAAGCGGAACCCTGGCTCGCCTTCAACCCCTCGGCTAACTGGGCGACCGGCGCTTGCGAGGACAGGGCGCTTCTTGTGGGCGCTGAAAAGAGTCCTGCGTGGAGCTTGTCTGCTTCTCAGGCGCCCGCAATCCATAGAAACATATTCACCTTTAATTACTGAGTTGGAGCTGCCATCCAGGTGCCAACAGGTGCCAATGCTGCCCTTTGGACCCCACGCCTGCTGTCACGACCAGGGCCGACGCCTTGCACCTGCACCAAGCAATGCTTTTGCTTGGCTCGGGGCTCGGCTGCTCTTGGGATTGCGGTCGGCACCATGAATCCCTTTTCGAACACGAGCGACACCCACCAGGCTCAATGCCACGGTTACCCCAGGAATGGCCGTTGTGCGTGTCAGCAACGCACCCACAAGGCCTGTCCTTGCGAACCCCCAAAGGCATGCAAGCTGACTCTGTACATGACCCCTATCTCAGCACTTTGATTAAAGGTGCCTTACACGAATGCAACATCGAGCGCGAGCAAACGGCCAGTATGGCCAATTCTGAGTTTGGTTCAGCGCTCTCTCAATTCTGCAGTGGCATCGGCTGCACCTCTGCAAGGTTGCACGAGCAACCTTGCAACTTGAAGCCACTGCAACCACTATTTCCAGGCTTTCAAGCAAGGCTGCTTTGTGTGGGGTGTCTGTTGATGCACACCTGAGGCATAACCAGCAGGAGTCTGCCCATAATCATGCGATCCGGTTTCGGCTATGGCTCACATGCGATCCATTCAAATGCCCTATAGTGGTTAATTGGGGAAGGCAACCCAAGCCTCATGAAGGGGCGGCCATCGAGATCTGTTGTTTTGTTTGGTATCTTCCTTGGTAGGGGGGTTTCGAATGGATCCTCCATCATGGATGCTCATGCTGTGGGGCAACGAGCCTGCGATCCCAAAGGGAAGGATAAGTCCCAAAAGCCTTCGGGCGATGCAAGCAGTGTTCTAATTAGCGTGACAAGACCCGTACACATACGAATATATCGTTCATCAAACTGCTTTGTTTAGTCGCGCCTGGTGGTGTGCAGGTAGGCGCATGATCCATTCGGTGTCTGGAAGAATTACAAGATTGGCCTGTCTTTGGGCCTTTGGTCACCGCAAAAAAGTTGCGGCACTGCTCGCAGTCGTATCCTTTAAGAGCAAGTCGCTGCTTTCCACGCACCACACATCGGCAGGGGGGGCCCTCCTTGACAACTTCTCCATCAAACGACCTGCTTCGGATTGCCAGCTCCCCCTTGCCCTGGTCAGGCACGAAGCATTTCGCCAGGTCTCTTGGCTCTTTGGCAGGCTCCCAAACCCGGAGTCCCGCAATCTTCAAGTTAGCCAGACTCGATGCCTCAGCTGGAGCACTTGAAGTGGGTTTGAGGACGTTCTTCTCACCATTGCGGGCTGCAGGTAAGCTGGGGGAGACGGCCTGCGAAGCAGCGCAAATGTACAACCTGCATTGCTTCTTACATTCCCCGCCTTGGTCACAATTTGCTCTCCTTAGCAACAACTCACTGCCAGCATTAGCTCAGCACCGGAGCGCCACACCTGGCTCAGTCTTATTCTCGGGCTTTTTCGTAGTCGACCCTGTTGTGCCATCCTTAAGCGTCACCACAATTTGGTGCACGATTCAAGATTGAAAGCCTACTGGCGGTCCTCCATGGGTTCCTCTTTGGGAGAGGGAGAGTCAGTCAAGCGGCGCCGCTTGTCACCTGAGGTCTCTAGCATGTGCCAAAGCAGAGCCAGGATAAGAAAACAACTCATGTATAATAAGAAAGGAAGCGAAGAATGATGGTATCCAAACTCTACGAGACCCTGCCTGCAAACTTCCTCGAGGCCATGGTGCGAAACGTGCTTTTGCTGAAGTTGCGAAGCCGGGCCTGAAGTTCCCAAGTCACTCAAATTCTCCAAGGGCAGTTGTGTAGGGAACTCTGAACCAATTCAGGCTGCCAGAATCGCACAGGCGATGTCATGACACAACACAGCTTCTCAGGGAGCGCAAAACCGAATGCGCCACGTACCTCGTGATCCTGGATGGTTTGCTGTTGCTTGGCAATCAGCTCGCCGAAGCTCTCCAACTTTGCCTAACCCCAGACTGCTTCGAATGACATCCGATCAGCCTTTAAGTACGTTGGCTTTGGCACATCCCCCTTGCTTCTAGGTTCTGCGCTTTCAACTGCTGATTCTCTGCCCGAACTTCTTCAGTTATCCTCGAGCAACCCAAACGGAGCTTGAAACAAGCTTCCCACAGCATGAGACAAGTCTTCTCTCACAAAGGAAAGTGTTGAAACCATCACAACACATCAGCTTGGCTTGGGGCAGTCGACAGAATTTGGCGCCATGGCAATGTCTTGGCAACTGGCAAGTTACAAACAAGTCAACAAGTCAAGCTCCTCTGCTGGGCGCGAGCATCTTCTCTCGCAGCCTGGCTTGCAGTCGTGCTTTGTTGTGAAAGCATGTTGAATCCAAGGGCAGGCAGGTCATGCACGCAGCAGCAGCAAAGATATGCCGAGTCTCACATTTTTGTCTATCTCGCATCGCTAATCACTTCGCCCTCCACGTGCAGGCGGCAGGTAGAGATGATGCGAACCAAAGCACTTTTTCCAAGCAAAGAGTCGTCACGGGGTACCAGCACCTTTGCAAAGGACTTAGTGCGACCAACTGTCTGCCCTTGCTGTGCATGGACACCTTTTGACCTCTCCTGCTCCGTGTCCGCAAACCAGACTCGCTCCTCACGGCCCAGCAAACCCTCGTTACGGTCATATGAAGTAACAAAGTCAGCCAGCTCTCGGTAACGTTCCTTACCCACATGACTTTTCAAGGGCTTCAGCCTTGCTGCGGGTGTCCCAGGTCGAGCATAGAACTGCGAGATGTGAATGCCTTGGAACTTGTATTTCCTGCAAAGGTCCATAGTTTCCTGCCAGTCCTCCTCGCTCTCTGTGGGGAATCCACAAATGATATCCGTAAGCAGGAAAATGTCGGGCACTTCCTTGAGTCGGTCCACCAGGTAGCTGAAATCGCTAACGGTGTATTCGCGCCTCATGGCCCTCAGCACCTGGTCTGAGCCTGACTGTACAGGGATGTGCATGAAGGCATGGACGTTGGGCCTCTTCAAGACTTCTATGATCTCATCGATATGCTGCATGATGAATGGGGGATTTGTCATTCCGGTCCGCAGCATCACACCGGGAGGTAGCGCATCAGAGAGTTGGCGCAGCAAGTCGGCGATGTTGGTACCGATATCCAGGCCATAGGCCCCCATGTCCTCTGATGCCAGTTCAATTTGACAAACGCCTTCGCTGGCTGCCTCCAGTGCTCTCGTAATGATTGTTTCAACAGGATATGACACAACTTTGCCGCGCGACATCTTGGTCTTGCAGTATGTGCAGCTGCCAAGGCATCCAGCGTTGATGGTGATAATCTCAGACAGTTTATGCTTTCTCACCTTGGGTAGTGACAGTGACGGCAAATCTGACCTCTTATTCATCAACTTCACAGTGTTGCCCTTGACAGTTTCCTCGACCACTTCGACAATGCGATCCAACTGAGTCACATCTAGCATGCTTACTCCATCTAGCACCAAGTTTCGATTGCTGGAGGGCACGCAACCGGCCAGAACCACACCTTTCCCGGCCTGCCTTGCGCTGGCGACAAGGTTCAGCGCGCGCGTTTCTGAGGGATGTTTTACAGTGCAGGAGTTGATGACGATTGCATCACTCTCCTCCAGCGAATCCACGAGGGTGTACCCGTAATCCTGTAACTGGCCTGCTAGGTACTCACCATCTGATTGATTGTGAGGGCAGCCAAAGGTCTTGACATGAATTCGCTGCTTTCCAGGCAGCCAGGACTGGTCCGACGTGGCAGTTTCTACTTCGGATTCATTGCGACGGCGTACTAGCTTGCGCAGCACTTCTCCAAGTCCAAGACGAGGCGGGCGAGAAACATGGCTATCAGCTGCAAGATCTTCTAGATCGTCAGCATCTTTCTTGTCGCTATCCCCATCATCTGCAGACGTGCTGGCAGAATCAGACTTGCCAAGTCCGCAAGTGCCATCCTTGGCTCCGCAGCCACAATTGCCCTTTGGATGTTCCAAGCTCAACCGTGAATACCGTGCAGCCGCACTGGCTGCAAACAAGACTGCCAATCCAAAAGATGCAATGGCGCTTGGTTTTACCAGCTCGGAGAACCTCTGCGAGGAGATCACACTGCCCATGGCTTCTGGGAGTCTTTTTCAACGTTTATTGCTCAGTGAGATATCTGGCATGTGATTTCGGCAGCTTATTGAAGGTCGCTTGCTACAATCAGATGCAACATGCGCACAGGCAATCGGTATGCAATTCTGAGCCGCAAAACACCGCCACGTGGATTTATGGAAGATATTGATCATGCCAGCTGATGTTCCAGAAAGGGGTAGCTTCCTGATCACAAGTGCTTGTTCCAAAGGGCTGATCAGTCCGGCCTCGAGCTCTGCCTCTAAAGAAACTGCGTGCGATCGCAGGAGGTTCTCGCAACACTGCGCCTGGCAACTGAGCTCCATACCTTTGCCAACCTCGACGCCCTCCACATTTGAACCATGAGCCGTCAAAATTTACCATAAATCACATGGCTGCACTTAGTGAGACCATGGATTTGTGCGGGAAATTCAGTCACTCCTTGGAGTTGAGGAAAATCACGCCGATTTTGATCCACTTCCGTTGGCCTCCTTGATGGCCCGCAGCATGACATCCGCGGCCTGGCTTCCATGGGAAGAATCTCTGCAAGTCAAGCTCTTGAGACTCTTGAGTCTAGACAATACAAAGGCATGCGCCATACCCCGGCATACCCCGGCCTGCTGCAAGGATGTACCATTCGCTGCAGGGCCTTTGAAATTGGATTTCTACAGCCGACAGGCTAGGGCAATACGTCCCAGGAATGAATTATGTAAAACCCAATTTGACGGAGCTTGCAGTTTGCTTTCGAAATGCACCGCGTTGGCACTTGCCCTGATGCTTCTGGCCTGGCTGATGCCGATTCTCTTGCGAGTCAAGAGGAACGATGGCCTCTGGCGTTCTCTCAACAAAAGCAAGTGATTGAGATTGCGGCCTCTTCATTGCGCTGCGGCATACCTGAGGCACAAGGGCCAGCCGAGTCTGATGTGCTACCCGCCACACTGCAAGCAGTTAACCCGTCTTCTGAAGTAGGAAAAGTGGCTGGGCAGCCCGGCAAGTTGGCTGGGACCAAAACCATCCGCAGAACCTAAATTTCTTGGTCAATGGACTCTACCTAACCTCAGAAGCCGTTTAGCGCGCGCAACTTGGACATGCCATGAGTGCCTCCTGCTGCTAGTGCTGCTTTCCAAACCAATATGTTGCACTCAATATCGCGGGACAGGAGTAAGACCCTGCCCAAAATTTCTCGCAATCTGACCACAGCGACACTGTGTAAGACAGCCTCATGGCGCTCCATATTTCTCCGTCTTGCTGCATTGGCGCAATAGTCCATGCCCCTCTCAACCTGACGAGAGGAACCTGGAAAGCCCGTTGCCAACAAGAGGAGGTCTGCTACTGGGTGAGTGTGTGTGTGTGTGTTGTGTTGTGTGAGAGAGTTGGTGGAGTTGGTGCTGCTAGGGACACCTCTGTGTCTCCCCTCGCTTGTATCTGAATCGACCAACAAAACCCAAAAGAGTTTGGGGATTGCTCTTCGGCACAACTCGGAACTAATCAAGGAATCAAGAACTGTCGCGAGAGTGGCGGCTTGATTCCTTCGTGACATGCCCCACTCTGGGGGAGGAAATGACAGCGAACTGGCCAAGCCAACATTAAGACAAGTGACTGGGCGCAGGGACCAATCCAGCCTCGTTCACTTCAACTGTCGATGAAGCACACTGTCCAATTGAACAAACCAAAAGATCTATCATCTTAGTACGAGTTGCAATCTCTGCATCCTGAAACCAACCTAGCAACAAACACTTTGGAAGCGTGCCCGAAGTGGCAAGGCGGCTGCAAAAGATCCGCTCGCTGTCATAGATCTTTGGACAAGACCGCGGAGGTTTCCTCCCCTTCAACCAGGTCATGGACCTTTCCATAACTTTGTGAGAAAGGCTTTTGAGGAAGCCTTGGTTCTCGGACAACAAGATGCATCTTTGCATTGGTGAACGTCCCAGAACCAATCTTCCGTGTGCGCCTTCACGCAGTAAGCCTTGAAGCTCGTGGGATGTACAGGAAGTGCACTGGAAGCGACTTGCAACAATCTCTCATATTCCAAAATGCCGAATGCGTCCTTGAAACTTACGGAAACAACAGCCATGCGCAGCCCTTTTTGGCTGTGCGCCCAAACCTGCTTGACAACCAAACCATTGCTGCTAGCTGGAGCTGCAATGAGTGGCCATGCACATCACTGGATGCCAGAAGGGCATCAGTTCACTAGCTCGGAAATCCGCAAACGCGAGGAGAAAGATTGCAGTCAGAGTGGATCCACAAAGGAAACACCATCCTGCAAATCACACATCTTGCATTCTTCACCGAAGGTGCCCCACACATTTTAACAAGATGTGCTGCAACCCACCCCAAGGCCTTGCTTTGTGATATCCACCCAATAGCCTACAGGATGGCAAAAGTTTCCGCTTTGACATTGGCACTGGTCCAACTGGTTGCAGCCAAGAGACGCCATCAAGCTTTGCCTTTACCTTCAGTCTTGTGAGGCCCGACCTCAGCCCCAGAAGATGAAATTTGCATGCTGGTTGCACGACTGAGCATCCCCACTCCTCGTGCTTCTGTGGCCAAGAAAGGACCTCCACAACCTGCATGGGTGGTGAAAGCCCAGCACCTCACTTCCTTTAGCTTCTTTCACATCTCGGCGGTGAAAGCCCGGTGCTTGCAGTCAAATCCCAGGCACTTGGCCCAAAGGCACGAGAACCAGAAACAAAAAAAAGCTTCCGTGAGCTAACTCCCACATGCAGCGCGGCCCACGGAATACACTCATAGAATCAAGTATTGCGTAGGTAGAAACCCGAGTGCCATTCAACGTACATTAATATATGACATGCAGTGAATGCAGAACGACAGGCATACCAGGGACTTGTGAAGCGCTTTGTATCAGGTTTGAGCGAGGCACCATATTAGAGTAGACAGGGTTGCGCTTCTGCCGCGGGAGCAATTTCGACAGAAGGTTAGCTTTGAAATTCCAAGCAGCCTGGCGGGTTGTTGTCAAACGCCATTGCGGCCACTTTGTACAAACACACAAATTCAAAAATGTGACTTTTCGAGGCAGAGCTGCAGATTGTACAAACACCAGAGCTAGTGTTTGTCACAGAGTCCTCCTTGGTTCCGTTTGCGAATAGGTGTTCATCTTCGGTGTCTTTCCTTCTTCTTCGTCTTTGAATCATTGCTGGGTTTGTTTTTGCACACAGTGCTTTCGCACGCTCGTGTTTCCCATGTCGCACGTCGGCCCTTTGTTTGCAGGGTGTACGTCCACACAACAGATTCTTCACAACTTGGCAGTTTGCTACTCTTCGCCCGACCTCCGCCTCCTTGAGCTTCCTGACGCCTGCCTTTGGCGGGACATCCTGGCGAGATTTCAAAACGCGGCTTGGAACGTGGAACAACGGCGGAATTGATAAACACAGTGCCACTGCTTTGCCTCGAAGGACTCAAAAAGCTCGGTCTGTCTGAGGACCTGAGCGCAAGTCCAGCCCTGCCCCATCCTCCCCCTGCAACTGCTTTGGCTCATCTCTGTCCTGCCTTCCACAGATGGCCACCTTCTTGCAGAAAAATGGTGCCTTGATTGCCGGCGACGGTGACCCAGCCTTCCTGGCAAGAATGCATGGAACGATCCAAGGCCATTTGCATGCATGTCTGACAACACGGAGAAAAGCGACATCTCCACGTCCTTGTCTTCTCCAATCACCTTGCCCCATTTTCAGCTCCATGCACATAAAGACAGCGCTTCTCTCGACATGTTCTCAGCCGAGCTGCCTTGCCCCTGGCACGGAAAACCTGCCAAAACACGCCAAGAAAGCTGCCGGTGCTTCCCCCACCCCGGTCCACGGGCGGCAAGCAGCCAGGCAAGCACGGCAGGGTTCCATTTGTTGATCATCAGAAGGACTTAAACCCAGGAAGGTTCTTCATCGGAACATATGAATCATCCTGGGTTTAACTTCTTCTGACATCCACAACATGGAACCCTTGAGCATATCCTGTGCCTTCATGGAGACCTCCTTTTCAGGCCCCTCCAGCATCTCCACGATCTGTCGGGGTGGGGGGGGTTCCCCTTTTTTTTGAGGCTCGCTGCCCCTTGTGAATTGCTTATTTGAAAGGGGAAACAAAGGGGAACCCTTGCTGCCATTTTGGTTGAACCTTCATTTTGTGGAAAATCACTGTATGAGAGCACAAGCAACTCTGGTGGCAAGTCAGTTGCTGTACGCTACCCGGTCTGCTTTGGGCAAAGAATACTTCTCGTGTGACGTGCGCCGCGCGCCTGCATGAATACTTAGATGGCTGGTACTGATTCATGACTCTTTCTGGCAATGGACGGTTCAATAACATGCCTTGAACAAGCCGTTGCGATAGACTTTGATTTTGGACTCCAAAGACCAGTCTCAAATAACGTTGAGTTTGTAGCCTTGTGTGTCCAGAATTCCATCCCCCTGACGATAAGCCTGAAAATGCGGCTCGGGGCAACATGTGTTTTGCTTTTCTCAATAGAAGATCTGAGGTGCTCTTGGGCAAGATCGGTTTGACAGGCGAGCTGCTCCCTTCCTAAACCAGACAACAACTGCAGTCTCAATCAGAAATCTGGGAATTTTATCACTTGGATCACCTATCTGTGCTAAGGAAACAACCAAATGTAAGAGAGAGAAGAGACAGAGAGAGAGAGAGACACGCCAATTCTGGCAGGATGTTCTTTGGGGAGTTGGGTAAACACGGAGGAGTAAGAATACCTGTACATATTGGACACGTCAATCAGCTTACTTTGCAATCTCAAGCGTCAACGCACACAGCTGCATTTATGCAAGTTGCAGAACTCAGCCAGCTAGCATTTGCCAGATGTTTCTTTGGGACTTGGGTAAACACGGAGGAGTAAGAATACCTGTACATATTGGACACGTCAATCAGCTTACTTTGCAATCTCAAGCGTCAACGCACAAACATCTGCATTTATGCAAGTTGCAGAACTCAGCCAGCTAGCATTTGCCAGATGTTTTTTGGGGAGTTGGGTAAACACGGAGGAGTAAGAATACCTGTACATATTGGACACGTCAATCAGCTTACTTTGCAATCTCAAGCGTCAACGCACAAACATCTGCATTTATGCAAGTTGCAGAACTCAGCCAGCTAGCATTTGCCAGATGTTTTTGGGGAGTTGGGTAAACACGGAGGAGTAAGAATACCTGTACATATTGGACACGTCAATCAGCTTACTTTGCAATCTCAAGCGTCAACGCACAAACATCTGCATTTATGCAAGTTGCAGAACTCAGCCAGCTAGCATTTGCCAGATGTATTTTGGGGAGTTGGGTAAACACGGAGGAGTAAGAATACCTGTACATATTGGACACGTCAATCAGCTTACTTTGCAATCTCAAGCGTCAACGCACAAACATCTGCATTTATGCAAGTTGCAGAACTCAGCCAGCTAGCATTTGCCAGATGTTTTTTGGGGAGTTGGGTAAACACGGAGGAGTAAGAATACCTGTACATATTGGACACGTCAATCAGCTTACTTTGCAATCTCAAGCGTCAACGCACAAACATCTGCATTTATGCAAGTTGCAGAACTCAGCCAGCTAGCATTTGCCAGATGTTTTTTGGGGAGTTGGGTAAACACGGAGGAGTAAGAATACCTGTACATATTGGACACGTCAATCAGCTTACTTTGCAATCTCAAGCGTCAACGCACAAACATCTGCATTTATGCAAGTTGCAGAACTCAGCCAGCTAGCATTTGCCAGATGTTTTTTGGGGAGTTGGGTAAACACGGAGGAGTAAGAATACCTGTACATATTGGACACGTCAATCAGCTTACTTTGCAATCTCAAGCGTCAACGCACAAACATCTGCATTTATGCAAGTTGCAGAACTCAGCCAGCTAGCATTTGCCAGATGTTTTTTGGGGAGTTGGGTAAACACGGAGGAGTAAGAATACCTGTACATATTGGACACGTCAATCAGCTTACTTTGCAATCTCAAGCGTCAACGCACAAACATCTGCATTTATGCAAGTTGCAGAACTCAGCCAGCTAGCATTTGCCAGCTGTTTTTTGGGGAGTTGGGTAAACACGGAGGAGTAAGAATACCTGTACATATTGGACACGTCAATCAGCTTACTTTGCAATCTCAAGCGTCAACGCACAAACATCTGCATTTATGCAAGTTGCAGAACTCAGCCAGCTAGCATTTGCCAGATGTTTTTTGGGGAGTTGGGTAAACACGGAGGAGTAAGAATACCTGTACATATTGGACACGTCAATCAGCTTACTTTGCAATCTCAAGCGTCAACGCACAAACATCTGCATTTATGCAAGTTGCAGAACTCAGCCAGCTAGCATTTGCCAGATGTTTTTTGGGGAGTTGGGTAAACACGGAGGAGTAAGAATACCTGTACATATTGGACACGTCAATCAGCTTACTTTGCAATCTCAAGCGTCAACGCACAAACATCTGCAACTATGCAAGTTGCAGAACTCAGCCAGCTAGCATTTGCCAAATGTTTTTTGGGGAGTTGGGTAAACACGGAGGAGTAAGAATACCTGTATATATTGGACACGTCAATCAGCTTACTTTGCAATCTCAAGCGTCAACGCACAAACATCTGCATTTATGCAAGTTGCAGAACTCAGCCAGCTAGCATTTGCCAGATGTTTTTTGGGGAGTTGGGTAAACACGGAGGAGTAAGAATACCTGTACATATTGGACACGTCAATCAGCTTACTTTGCAATCTCAAGCGTCAACGCACAAACATCTGCATTTATGCAAGTTGCAGAACTCAGCCAGCTAGCATTTGCCAGATGTTTTTTGGGGAGTTGGGTAAACACGGAGGAGTAAGAATACCTGTACATATTGGACACGTCAATCAGCTTACTTTGCAATCTCAAGCATCAACGCACAAACATCTGCATTTATGCAAGTTGCAGAACTCAGCCAGCTAGCATTTGCCAGATGTTTTTTGGGGAGTTGGGTAAACACGGAGGAGTAAGAATACCTGTACATATTGGACACGTCAATCAGCTTACTTTGCAATCTCAAGCGTCAACGCACAAACATCTGCATTTATGCAAGTTGCAGAACTCAGCCAGCTAGCATTTGCCAGATGTTTTTTGGGGAGTTGGGTAAACACGGAGGAGTAAGAATACCTGTACATATTGGACACGTCAATCAGCTTACTTTGCAATCTCAAGCGTCAACGCACAAACATCTGCATTTATGCAAGTTGCAGAACTCAGCCAGCTAGCATTTGCCAGATGTTTTTTGGGGAGTTGGGTAAACACGGAGGAGTAAGAATACCTGTACATATTGGACACGTCAATCAGCTTACTTTGCAATCTCAAGCGTCAACGCACAAACATCTGCATTTATGCAAGTTGCAGAACTCAGCCAGCTAGCATTTGCCAGATGTTTTTTGGGGAGTTGGGTAAACACGGAGGAGTAAGAATACCTGTACATATTGGACACGTCAATCAGCTTACTTTGCAATCTCAAGCGTCAACGCACAAACATCTGCATTTATGCAAGTTGCAGAACTCAGCCAGCTAGCATTTGCCAGATGTTTTTTGGGGAGTTGGGTAAACACGGAGGAGTAAGAATACCTGTACATATTGGACACGTCAATCAGCTTACTTTGCAATCTCAAGCGTCAACGCACAAACATCTGCATTTATGCAAGTTGCAGAACTCAGCCAGCTAGCATTTGCCAGATGTTTTTTGGGGAGTTGGGTAAACACGGAGGAGTAAGAATACCTGTACATATTGGACACGTCAATCAGCTTACTTTGCAATCTCAAGCGTCAACGCACAAACATCTGCATTTATGCAAGTTGCAGAACTCAGCCAGCTAGCATTTGCCAGATGTTTTTTGGGGAGTTGGGTAAACACGGAGGAGTAAGAATACCTGTACATATTGGACACGTCAATCAGCTTACTTTGCAATCTCAAGCGTCAACGCACAAACATCTGCATTTATGCAAGTTGCAGAACTCAGCCAGCTAGCATTTGCCAGATGTTTTTTGGGGAGTTGGGTAAACACGGAGGAGTAAGAATACCTGTACATATTGGACACGTCAATCAGCTTACTTTGCAATCTCAAGCGTCAACGCACAAACATCTGCATTTATGCAAGTTGCAGAACTCAGCCAGCTAGCATTTGCCAGATGTTTTTTGGGGAGTTGGGTAAACACGGAGGAGTAAGAATACCTGTACATATTGGACACGTCAATCAGCTTACTTTGCAATCTCAAGCGTCAACGCACAAACATCTGCATTTATGCAAGTTGCAGAACTCAGCCAGCTAGCATTTGCCAGATGTTTCTTTGGGACTTGGGTAAACACGGAGGAGTAAGAATACCTGTACATATTGGACACGTCAATCAGCTTACTTTGCAATCTCAAGCGTCAACGCACAAACATCTGCATTTATGCAAGTTGCAGAACTCAGCCAGCTAGCATTTGCCAGATGTTTTTTGGGGAGTTGGGTAAACACGGAGGAGTAAGAATACCTGTACATATTGGACACGTCAATCAGCTTACTTTGCAATCTCAAGCGTCAACGCACAAACATCTGCATTTATGCAAGTTGCAGAACTCAGCCAGCTAGCATTTGCCAGACGTTTTTGGGGAGTTGGGTAAACACGGAGGAGTAAGAATACCTGTACATATTGGACACGTCAATCAGCTTACTTTGCAATCTCAAGCGTCAACGCACAAACATCTGCATTTATGCAAGTTGCAGAACTCAGCCAGCTAGCATTTGCCAGCTGTTTTTTGGGGAGTTGGGTAAACACGGAGGAGTAAGAATACCTGTACATATTGGACACGTCAATCAGCTTACTTTGCAATCTCAAGCGTCAACGCACAAACATCTGCATTTATGCAAGTTGCAGAACTCAGCCAGCTAGCATTTGCCAGATGTTTTTTGGGGAGTTGGGTAAACACGGAGGAGTAAGAATACCTGTACATATTGGACACGTCAATCAGCTTACTTTGCAATCTCAAGCGTCAACGCACAAACATCTGCATTTATGCAAGTTGCAGAACTCAGCCAGCTAGCATTTGCACTGCATTTTTCTGGAGAAACGCCCATGTGCGGACCTGTTCAACAAGGACATGCGTCTGAGAGGGACACCCAGAACACCCAACCGAAGCCAGCTCATGACGGCACCACATTTTTGGTGTCTGCGGGTGAACGAGGTGAGCGGAGACGATCTCCCAAGGGTTCGTAAAGGCGCCGCTCAGCTATCGCTGAAGCATACTTCTGCTTGCTCGGGTTGAATTCGACACTCAGAAGACCTGCTTGATCCAAGTTGTGCTCCTCGGGATGCGCACAGCTTACTTACTTCATGCACACGCAGCGGCAAATGTTGCTTCATGAAAGTCCTCGTATTAAGATCACTTACAGTGGTCATCAATCTTGTTTTGGCAAGATGGGAACTTTCCCTGTAAGCCGTGGGTAAGCGGTTTTGTCCGTGGGTCACCTGACGGTGGCCTCCCGCCCGGCCTCACAAATGAGGCTTAGACGTCTGGTTCCGATGCATCGGCCCAGCGTCTTCAGAGTGATTCGCGTGGGTCGAATGTCCCGAGTCTTCAGCGACCGCTGAGATTGCACCTCTTTCATCAGCTCTCGGAAGATGCTCTGGGCCTCTTCAGCCAAGCGCGGGCGACATCGGGCACATGCCTTCAGCAGCTGATTGTATTGGATGATGGAGGGGGGAATACCATGGCTTTGCATCTGCCTGAAGTATTTCTCAGCCTCCTGAAACATTCCCTTCTCTGCATAGGCATTGATGATCGGCCCAAAACTCCGCTCGTCCGGATACAGGCCATGCTTTGGGATGTCACTTAAAACAGCTTCAGCAGCCGCCACATTGGCATCCTTTGCGTGGACATCAATCAGGCAGTTGAGGACAACCAGGTCAGGTCCGAAGTCTTCTTGTGCCTTTCTTGCCCACCGAACTGCTTTCTCCACGCTGCCTACGCGCGCAGCAGCTGTCACCAGTGCACAAAGCATGACTTTCCCTTGAAGACCGGCTGCGTCAGCTCGCTTCTGCCAGTACTCCGCCGCCGCAAGGTCCATTGCACGACCTGCGGCATGCACCAGCGAAGTGAACAGCACAATGTCAGGCTCAAATCCAGCATCCAGCGCAAGTTCAAACCACCTCTCAGCTGCGACGAGATCGCCGCACTTGGCAGCAGCATCCACCATGATGTTAAAGCCCTGTAAATCGTGCAGACCCGCGTCCTGCGCTTCGTTGAAGATTCGCTCAGCTTCTTCCATGCGGCCTTTGAAGGCAGCGGCTTTGATGAGCTCCAGGTACATCACACGAACCTCCCCGCAACACAGTGAGCGGGCAATGTTGAGCCACTCCCTTGCTGCTTTCTCACGTGCCAATGTCAGATTTGCGCGCATGACCTCCTTCAAAGCAGTGCAAATTAAAGTCTCCTGTGCTTGCTTGAGGCGCACAGCCCGTGCCAAAAGCCTCTCTGCCGCATCAAGGTGTTCAGACCTCACAGCACTCAGCACGACCTGGGCTGTTGCTCGGACCTGAAGAACACCCGCTTTCTCTAGCCAGCGCTCCGCAGCATCCACGTCTCCGGCTTGAACTGCCTTCTTTGCAGCCAGGGTAAATGTCCTCTCGTCCAGCTCGAGATTCTCTTGCAAATGCTGCAGCCATGTGTCTGCCCTGCTGGTGTCCCCAACTGCGGTGGCAGTTGATATGATCACATTCACGGCGTCGACTGGAGCCTCCGATGGCCACAGCCGCCTCAGCCAAGCCTCGGCTGCGTAGACATCACCCTCACGCGCAGCTGCGTCCAAGAGCAAATTGCGGTGAACCTCGCTGACTGAATCATCGTCTGCCTCCACTTCATACCGGCCGTTGGCTAGCTCCATGAACCTGAGCTGTTTCCAGACAGATTGCAAAGCATGAGCTGCGATATGCTCAATCACCAATGTGTGATTCGGTCCCCTCACAATCAGGTGGTTCTATTCACATTAAATGGCCCCTACCACCCCTTCACAGGCACCAGCTCACTGAAGCCTTTCTCTGAGCCGCCACCTCTCCGTCTCCTTCCGGTGGCCAAACTTGGCCGCGGCCTCCATGAGTTTGCCGAAGGTCCGGGCGTTGGGCCGAACGTGTTGGGCCTTCATCTCCTGGTAGACGTCGCTGGCCCGTGCATGGCTCCCCGAGTTGGCACAGGCCTGCCAAGCCAGCCAAAAAAGGAATGGGTTCAGGCAACCCAAAGAAAGCTTGCAACCTGACGTGCTTAAATCCTAAAAAGAAGATGCTAGATATTGTTGCGCGTATCGTTGTAAAGTTATAAGCCTCCAAAACACGTGCCAAACGGATGACCAACGAGGATGTCAGCTACCAGCTAGCGATCCAAGACTTGCCAAGGGAAGAGCTATTGCAAACACTCCCCCGGCAGCGGTCTCATTCTGGGCGGACATGATCGTTCCCACACACCCAAAAACGTTAGGGTACGGGACAACCTCAGAACTCTTCCGCCCCTCGCACCTTCAGGAGTGTGTTGAACAGAAGTCTGTGCTGGTGCCGAGAGAGTTGCGCGTGCAGTCGACGGAAGATGCGCTCTGCTCGAGCAACATCTCCTCGCCTCAGCGGTTGCGCGGCATACGGAACCATTGGAACCACGTTCAAAAATGCTTCTCGTCACACACACACACACACACACATGGGTAAATCATCGACCCGCCAGATTTTGTATGATTTGCGGGCAATCTAGTACTAGTGAGTCTCACATGTCTCTGACAAATTGATACACAACTATTACATCTGAAAGGAAAGTCGGCCTTGAGTTACAAACCCCAACTGACCATACACTTACAGTACTCACACACACACAAGAAAAGCTGTTGGGAGCTGTCTGGAGAGAAGACCAGCACAACGCCCAGTGGAGGCCCTTTTGCGGCAAGGGTCGCAGCTAGTGCGTCAAAATGTTCCAAATCTCGCCGATCGCTTTCCTCGAGAGTGCGCCTGGAACTGGCTCCAGCCTGGCACTTGCTTCGGACACAAGAAACCTTATCCGCCAAAAAGGCTAACAAGAACGAGGGCACCAAGGATAACAAGACATTGGCTCACAAAGGCCACAAGCCGAAAACATGCCGGGTCACATGAATCTTGGGACTTTGAGGCTTTTGACATATCATGACAAACATTTCCCTTGACATCAGATCCTTTGATTAGTACTCCACACAGTGCCTGCAGAAGTGGGGTCTGTGTCCCATGAGACCCAAGCAGTCTGGCTGGTCTGCCCAGTCTTTGCATGGCGAGCGCAAGCTTCCGACATTTCTTTGCAGCTCTTGCTGTACTCTGCTTGGTGCTGACTTGAAGCTCCGTCAATCTGCAACACAGTCTCAGCAACTTCGGCTTGAGACAAAGCAACATAGTAGTTCCTCAGGTAAAGGTGGGAATGGCGTGGCTACAGTCCGTGCTTGAGCCAGAAATCAGAAAGGTTCCGCCAGCGCAGTCCATTGCCAATCACTCCTCTCCCGTGGCCTCACCAACCTTGAGCTGATGAACCGTCTGGCTGCCGTTGACCTCCAACTTTTCGGTCATTGGAGTCTCCTACAGCTCTTGGCAACCCGATACTTGTGAGATTTGCACAAGCGCAAACGCATGCCGCAGGCAGGAAGGCAGGAAGGCTTGAACAGATAATCCAAGCTTGTCCTTGACTACCTTGTAGTACACCTTCACAAGTCGAAAGAAGGCCTGGCCCATGCGCTCCTATTCATCGTGAGGGGGGGGGGGGTGCGGCGGTGTCGGGTTTCTAGTTCAGCATTCGTTGAGCTGGGCCTCGTCCATGAACAGCCGCAAATCTAAACTACATGACTCAACCCAAGTTTTGCACGTTTGCACTCTCAATCGACAACCCTCTAGAAATGCTGCGCCAAATGCAAGCGGAAAGGCAACCCAACGGAAAGACTCAATCAAATTGTCTCGTAGCAGGACCAGCTGTGCGCTCAGCCCCTTCACCCTTGTCAAAGTGCAAGGGGTCACGACCCCAACCGCGCCCACGCCTCTGGAGATATCTTCACGGCGTCCGGGTCCAGGACGCTGCTGAAGAGACTGAGCACACATGTGCGCTGCTTGGGGCGCATGTCAGCATGTCGAGCCCCCCTAGCCTCTTGCTAACCGCAAGCCGCTTAGACATGCAGGATGGAAAGCCGAAGAGATTGGGGTCCGATCCCATTTTTGCGCTACTTTGCTAGAGTCAGGCCAAACACAAGCAAACTCCAGCAGCCGCCTCTTGAGCTCTTCTGGGGACAGTTCAGCTTTCACCTTGCACACGCTGCTTGTCCAAGCACTGACTGAGAGACACATATGAGCTCATATGGACCTGTTGCAAAATGGAACTTCTTGATGTGGGATTTGACAGGAATTCTGGGGCCGTGATTTGATGCACAGCCATGAGTCGAATCTGTGGCATCATCCACGGCACTTTTGCTTTGCAGCTGAGCTGCCACTTTCTTCGGTTTTGGCTTTGGCTTCGGCGTGGCTTGCAACATGATGGCAGCCAAAGACTGCTGCCTGATGACCGTCTCCTCACACGCAGGAAGATGGGAACGAATTCAAACTCATGAAGTCCGTCCTCATCAGCATCTGAAGGAAGAGGCTCTTCCAAGGTATCGACCAACATTTCCTCTAACGGGTTGGCCTCGCAGGCTCTGAAGAATCCAGTTGGAACTGCGCAACGAACCTATCTTTCTTTCGCTGCTTTAGGGGGGCGTCCCTTGGGGGGGCATTTCTTGGGTGGCATCCCTGAGGAAACACTCTCTCTCTCTCTCTCTCTCTCTCTCTCTCCCTCCCCCCCGCCCCGCAAGTCTACCAAGTCTCTTTCAGCCTCCATCTCAACCTGCTCATTCTGTGCGTCTTCTGGCTCGAACTCCTCCTCCTTGATGTCCTAGATAATTTCTGGTACAGTCTTTGGCGCTGTCATCTGATCCATGATTCCGCTGAGAGTGTGCTTAACCTTTCTCATCGCCAAGGCAGGGTTGTGAGTCACAAGCTTTGTCTAACGTTTGCCAGACTAGTCTTGAGACCACGACTTACGCTGTTCTGACCTTGCTGAAATGAGCAGGCCTTGTCGACCGTGGAGAAGAAAGAGACAAACTCCTGAGATGGCAACCGGAAATCGATGTCTCTTGGCTGCCCCTTGCACACCGTTCCTCTTCGTCAATGCCACCATCACCATCCGCATCAAGGTGGCGGAACAAGTCCTGCAGCTGGCTTGGTGCTGGGTTTTCCACCACCCTTCGCCTGCATGTGAACAAGCAAGATCATGAAAATAGGACAGTCAATAGTCTATTGTTTCCCACACAAATGGGATCTGCGGCTCAATCCTCATTGCTGAGCGTGTTGACACGGGCATAATGGCGGATCACCTTGCCACATGCAATCTACCGCACCTGAAAATGAGGGAGTCGCCTCGCCTTCATGGCAAACGCGCGAACCATCTCAACCTCTTGAGCTTCTTTGCGCCAAGCCTAGCGTCAATCTCCCCCAAAGACCAAGCGCCACACCTTGCTCACCCCAAATACCGTGTGTAACAGTGAAAGTGCCTCACCAACAAAGACAAACACATGCACAAGTAAAGCAGTAAAAGTACCTCACCACAACAAAAGTCGAGCAACAAAACCAAAAAAAAAGCTCAAACCCAACGAACTGACCACCTGGCGTCAGCTCAAGCACTAGCGCCGCGAGCGCCTGCTCCCTGTGGCGTCTGCTCAAGTTGGCGGCTCGCTGCAAACGCAGATCCGCGCGGCCCATCTGCAGCTCCAACAGCTTGGCCTGGGAATTTGAGACATGGGTATGGGTCAAAGCTAAACCACCAGGGGACCGCAGGTTTTAGTCCATGTTTCCATTTACAAGGGTCAAGGGTCCCATTTTGGGTAACTATTTTTGACAGAAGCGGAAGGTTTCTGCGCACCTCGGATCTGAAGAACTCCTTCATATCTTCTTCGTACTTCCTCGGGGAGAACATGACCAAAGCACTCTTATTCCTCCATGAGGCCTGAAGACCCTTGCCAGTCCATGTTCGGGCTGTGTTGAATGTATGAGGCTTGTCCACTTGCTGCACGTAATGAAGCTGGCAATAAGAGGACCTCTGCCAATACATCATGATGTGCCAAGCTCGCTCAACAGCTGGTGGACTTGCACCCAACGGGTGACAGCACTATGATGTCAAGCTGGACATTGCTTATGCCTTTGGCTTGGAAACCATACCATGAAAACCATACCGTACCCTTGAATTCCAAATCCCTTCGCTGCTAGGCCACTTGTCGAAGCCAAGCGGAATAGTCTTGATTCGCTGTCTGACTTTATCAGCGGCCTTTGAGCTGGCCTGGCAAGCACCGACGAGTCTCGCAGAACAAAAAATGACAAATGGGTGTGGCTCAAAAAAAATGTACCAAAATGGCACCTTGGTAAATGAAACCAAAGCCTAACACCTGCGGAACCCTGGCCCCCTAATTTTGAGCCACACCCAAATGTTGACCAAGTCTGCCTTGAGGAGGTCATCGCAGTGCGAGGCATCCCTGTCCATCTCGGAGACAGAGGATTTCTTTGCCTGGCTGGACATCTGACGCTTCGTTTCAAGGCCCTTGGATCATTCCGCTCAAGCCTTGGCGGCCAAAGGGCGGACGGCATCTTCTGCTGCCTGCATCTCCTGACGGTCAAACAAGTCCCTGGGCCCGCCTGGGCAAATCAGGCACGCCACCCTGTCAAAGTCGGAATAGACTTTCTCAACCTGACAGCCACCCAGCCACTACTCACAGACTGAAACGACATGGACATGCACAGCAAGACCTTGCCTCGCGCACCTTGCTCCTCAGTCTCTCTCGCAAGCCTGCAAGGACTCTTTCCTGCCACGCGAAACATTCGCATCTCGGCCCTTTCCGGTCTCACGAGATGCGTAAGAACCACAAGCCAATCTGCCTTCGCTATTCTTGCAGTTCTTCTCCGCCTTGATATGGCACTGCGGGGAAACGCAACCGAGTCACAAGAACACTAGCAAGTACCGAGGCTCTTCTTGCTGTGCATTGCTGCGCCAAGCTGCTCATTGCGCTGCATCTCACGTGCAACTCCCAGAGCAGAATTAAGCAAATACATCCTGAGCCACGTGGGAGTCGCCAGCTTGCTGGAATCTTGCTTGCTTAATTAATGATCACTGTTGACTTGCATGCTTTACTGAGTCCGGCACTTGTCTGGGCTGATGCCCTTCTCATCTTCGTCGACTGTGCATCTCCAAATCTTTTCCAGCAAAACCTACATGCCATGCCAAGACACACAGCATCACACGAGCGGCGAACAAGGTCTGGGGAAATGCAAGGCGATCCATGCCACTCAGCACTGCTAGCAAATAGAGGGCCTTGTCCACATTCACGGACATGACATTTCTGGCATAGGCCACAACCTGATGAACTTTTGTTGAGCCACAATAACTTATATTGACACGCTGAGCGAGCCTCCATTTGACTGAGAACCTGGTCTTTGTCTCGGTCGAACTTTGCAAACACTGCCTGCAAGCGTGCACCCAAGAACGTGACACACTTTCCTTCGCTCGCCAGCAACATTTGGCTTGCCTCCATTTCTTTAGTCTTCTGCCGGGCAGCTGCGCAACGCACTGCCTGCTCCTTGGCACCTGCACACTTAAACATGGCTCAAGACAGCTTGCATTGAGCGGCTGGAAACCGGGCTCTGTGGCAAACACTTCAACACTGGCAAGGATCGAAAAGGAGAAGGCTCTGGATCTTCAGGAGTACCTTGCCTCTTGCAGCTTGGATCAAAGCGTCTGCAGTCTTGCCACACCTTACAGAATGCGCCCACTGATGCCACAGACGAAGCCTTCAAACAGCTTTCTTAATGAATGCCATGCTGTGCCCCGCACTCGTTGATGCGCTGCAGCAGCTTTCCCAAAACCTCTTCACTCGCAGAAACCATCGCAAGCAAAAAGGAAGCCAGCTCGCTGCACACTCGACGTAAACAATGTAAACACTTAAACGGACTCCCATGAGTCACAAACCAAACGCAAGGCGGAGCAAGGGAGCCCAGGGCCACACCTGCTTTGTTTCCGAGGTTCCAGGAGCCTGGATTCCAGGAGCTAGAGGACTGGGAGTTGGATCCTGACTGAGTCAGGCTTGAGCCAAACAGCCAGCTGCTCTGCTCTGGCCTTGATGTCGTTTCCTTTCACCAAAATGAAGTCGGTGCACGCCTCGTGCGTTTGACGCTCTGACATAGTCTATGCCAAAGGCAAGTGCCTTGGTAGCGCCTTTGGCATCTGTGCCGGCCTGGCAACAGCGTGAATGCAGACTGAGAATGTGTGAGGTTTTTGCAGGTCCAGTCCCTGACTGACGGCTTTGCTTGAACCCCGGTCACCCTCCGCAGCCCATCTCAGACCTGCCTCTTCAACAGCCAGGGCACAAGCCTCGACTTCTTTCACCTGGCGCGTGGAGTGAAGAAGAAGGAGTGTGCGCCCCTTTCACATCGACTCATGTGACTCGTTTCTTTTGGCTGCTTGACTTAATGCCAAGCAAGCCCAGCGCACGCTGTCTTCAATCTTGTCAGACAGCGGAGCAGAAAGCCCCTGCGCACAAATTGCCATCACTCAGGGAGTGGCGACAGGGTTAGAGCGTTCCGCATGAATCAATACCATGCAGTTTGCAAGCAGCTCAGCTTCACAAGGATATCATGATAGTTGACCATATACCATCAGCTTGAAGCGGTTCTGCTTTCAAGTGACACCCCGCAAGGGGCTGGAGCTTGACACATGCCATCAAATGTTCACGTGCGGAGTCCTTGAGTCTTTCGACTGAAGCTTCTGCAAGCTCAACGAGGTCGCTGAGCTCCTGCCGATCGAGAGCAAAGTGTCCCAACTGACGCGGCCACCGGATGACTAAGCGCCTGTTTCTGAGGGCCCCCATGTGATCAGTAGATGACAGTGAATATTGTCGGTTGCTCAGGATTCGTTCCAACAAGTGGCGGTCCCCGGGAATTCTGGACCATGGTGCTTCAGGGAAGCAAGGCGCAGTGCTTCATGGATATTTGCGGTTCTGCCTAGAGTTTCTTCTGCGCCAACTGTTGGATTTTGGTGTTTTTCCCCAAGCCCACAGCGCCTTCAGCAGCTCATCTGTCTTCACCTGCTGCTCAAGGCGCTTCTTCTCCTCTGCCTCCTTCTTATCCTTTGCTCTGCAAGAATCTAGCAGCCATTTTATGCTCTCCACTTATTCTTGTAGCCCAAGCTTCAAAAGAGAAAACTTCACGCCTGCCGGAGCATTGAGGCCCGGGCCATCTCCTTCTGCCGCTGCTCCTTGATGCTGCCTAGTCTCTTCGTGGCCTGCTCCAGGCCTTTCTCGCTCTCCTGGCAGAGAGAGAAACGGCTTGAATCGACCGCAAGTCGCGTCGAGTCGAGTCGACGAGACCGGATGATGTAAGATGATGCAAGTGTGCCGGATGCCTCTTTTATCCTTTCCTTTTGGCTGCCAGTGTTTGGAAGCTCGACCGCGAGGATCTCCTGCACAAAACGGATTGATCCCCGCTAGACGGGAGGGACTATTGCAACCTGAAAGAGCTTCTTTAATTCATTGAGTCTGCTTTTGCATCCATCGAACGCGCATGTCATGCAGGCCTGAAGCTCTTTTTGAACTTCTGCGAAGGTCTCGGGGGAGGCCAACCTGACCTTCTGGATCACCCTGGCGACACGCTCTGAGCCATCATATGCCCGAACTTCCTTTCAATGCAGTGACCATTTTTTTGAGGGAACCCTTTCTGTGGGGTCGTTTTCAAGGAAAACTAAAGGGACGCCACCCATTTTGGGGTTCCCGCAGTATGAAACATAGCCCGTGTAGCAAGACTGACACAACTGCATTGGCATGGCCTTCTGATGGCCAAGGTTGATCTCTGCTCCTGTCTCCGCTTCTCCTCCAAATCCTTTTTCTGCTTTGCTGCCTCTGTCAGTCTACATTGGAAGCTGGAAGTGATGACATGTTTGACTTTGACCGACTCGGTTCAAACAGCAAGCCTCTTCCTTTTGCTTTTGCTCATTTTCCTTCTTCTTTGCTGCCTCCTGTCAGGGTTGCAGCTTGCACATGCTGCAAGCTGCTCGTGCCTTCCATGCACCTGAACAATGTGTCGTGGCCAAGCCTCCTCTTTCCTCTTGGCAGCATTTTTTCTGTCCTCCTCAGCATTCTTCTTCCTCTGCTTGGCATCCTCAATGCTGAGATGGTTTTCGGTCAACTCGATGCTGCTGGGAGATGTATCAAATAGCGGACAAACTGCGGCAAGCTTCTTATTCGACGAATTACTGCACAAATGGTGCAATCAGCAATCGGTCCTCTTCTTTCTTTTTCTTATTGTCGCGTCTATTACTGTCCTGAATAGGTCGAGCTTGTCGTTGCATCATGATCGTGATGCGCTTCGAAAGCTGCCAACGGTTTCAGGAGCATATTGTCAGCTACTTGTGTCACAAGGCAAAGAACTCCTCGTCCCTTTTACGGTCTTCCTTCTGCGATGCCTGCAGCAAATTCCAGGAACCAGGTCCCTGCCACGTGCCATGCTCCAAACATGCACTTGGCCTGCGCGTCATACGCACCAGGCACTCCGTACCTTTCAGGATAACAAACAAATCAGAATTTACATGAATTTACTGCAGCCTTCCGAAACTTCCAAAGAGTCCAAGCTATGCCGTGCGCACCCGTAGGCTGGAGGCAGACCGTACGCCTTGGACATCTCCGACTTCGTTCTGCCGAGGGCTCGGCCCAAGATCTCCAAACTTGGCGCGACACTGGTGGGCCGTAAGAGTACATTGGCCTTGGTCTGACTGATGGCTGGCAAGTCATCCATCCAAAGTGAGGCAACGGCTGAGGCACACCAGGATGGACGGGTTGATATTGCGCAGCCGCAGTTTGGGACTTTGCATATCCTAGCAGGAGCTGCTTCGGCGTCACAAACCAACATGACTTCCTCTCCTGAAGCAGGCTGCAGAATAAAGGTGTTGTCGACGGGGCCATCATACGGCACCTGTGCTGTGCTAGCATAATACGGGTCAATCACATTGACTATGGGAAGCTCTGCTAGCAACTAACCACGTGCAGCCAGCGTTGCGTGCTTTTGGAACCACACTCTTTGGACAAGTGCTACTCCCCTGTCTCTCGCTGTGTCTCGCTCACTCTCTCTCTCTCTCGAGACTGTAAAGATCAGTGAGTGCACGTAAGTTGCACCTTCCACCCACTCAATGGAGGTGTAGGCGCTTTCTCTGGGTGGTAAGCCCAAACTTGATCTCCACCAACCTGCGCGGTACTCCCAAACACCAAGTGAAAACCAAACGTTGCCGCCGGCCTTTGGACCAAACCACCAGCCACAGAAGTCGGGGCCATCTCGGTCATCCCAGAAGTAGAGCATGATGTCCATGCCGTTCACCTCCAACTTAGTGACCAATAGGATACCAATAGGAGATCAGTAGCTAGACAGCCGTACATGGCTGCTCGCCGGTCGGGTCCTGAATAGCCCCTTTTCGTGGTCTAAGATTCGAATGAGGTTGGTGACCATCGCTGGCCTGCCCGTTCTTCTTGTAGACTGGCTTCCCGTGGTTGTCACTGTGGAGGTTGAACTCACCCCGCACCTCAGCGTCTAAAGAGCTAAACTATTGCTGCTATTAGCTAAACTATTGCTCCTCCGCCCAAGCTCATCGGCCTGATCAATTGGACCATCTGCTGGGCTTCCAGCAATATCTCCCACCGTCTCGTGCTTGCAGCCGGTGACAATTATTCTCTCGGACCTGACTGGATGCGAATATCATCAAAGATCCAAAGCACATTCACGGGTAGAGATCTTGGAATGCTAAGGCTCAGGCCTGCCTGACGAAGTGGACGGGGTATATCCAGCCTAGCGAAAGTGGAAATGCGGGTGGCAATGTTTTGGTCCATGGGGCGCCTGAGCAGTCACACCACCATAGCCGTATCCGGCATAGCCAGCCTCACAGTCGCATGAAGTGCCTTCCAGCTCTGTGCGAGCAAGCTCTGTAGACACTTCAATGCGCACCAACCCTCGGGATTCTCTTGTGGCACACTGTGCAGTGTTAACAGAACTTCGAACTGAAACAGCCCGGCAAATTGCCCATTGAGGTTTCCTTTCTCGGCCAGACTAAGGCCACAGCCGGAGGCTGTGCCTGCACAAGCCCCGTCTTTGCGCCAAGCGTACGCCGGCCCGATCTCCGATCCCCCCGTGCCTGTGGGGCCTGGGCATCAGATTCTGAGGCAATCAAATTACCTCTCTTTCCCTCATGCTGAAAACGCCCGTGTTTCGGGGGGGGGATGTTGTCTTCAAGTCTCCCGCAGCTCATTCTATTCTCCCCTCTATGTTTAGGGGTCCTCTGTGCCAGAAGGGACCGTGTCTGGGTCATTGGCATAGCCAGGCCTTAGCCAGATCGAAGGCAACAACATGGAATGCTCTGGGCAGTTTGCTCAACGCGTGAATCTTTCAAGGGCAGCACTGCGCATACGCAGCAGGGTAGGTGGCTGGCGGATAACCTCGCCATGCCGAATGGACACAGGAACACCGAGCAACTAGCATGCCAGGCGCTGATCGGCATGCTTGAGATCATGGCCTGCTGGATATCCAGGAGGATATCCGAACCTGGATGTGGCATGACAATCTAGCCACTCCTTTTCCCAATAAGTCCGTATGCATTGTGAAATTTGGCAACAAAATTGCTGATGAGCCACATAATAAGCCTTGCCAGGCTCCAGTGGGGGAACCCGCTCGCTGCGGGCCCAAGTGGCTGCGGTGCCGCTTGAATGCAAAGGCAGGGAACATCCGGCAGGCATCCCGAGTGCCATGGTTTGAATGCTCAAAATGCGCCACACGCAATCCAAGTTGTGAAACAGCAAGACGCCTCCCCCAAGGTTAGCAAAGACATGCCAAAGCAAGCACGTGAAGAAACGTCGCCTCGACTGCCCCGGCGCCTTCCATAGCCCTGGGCTCATGGACCCCCGCGACTGCTCCCGGTCCACGGCAATCTCCTGACATGCTGTTGCCTGAGGGAACCTTTATTTGGAGGATACTGCGTATAGTATCTTGAGAATACGGACCCTCATTAAGTTTTGTTCATGCTTCAGTACGCCCCTTTCGGCATGGTTGTATGCATCCTTCTTTTCAGCATTCTTTCAGGGTGCACCTTTTGTGGACCCGCTGCTGGAAAGGTGCTCGAACAGGCAAAAGGGTAGCAGTTGATGCATGCCACTGGACTGAATGAAATTCCTGATGTTTTCTTGTTTCTTTTGGTTTTGCTGATGACTTCCGCGCCTCGGGCATCACAGCTCGCGGGGATAGGGAGCCTGGGCCCAGGGCAACACGTTTGTGCGGGTCCACAACGCGCGGCGAGCTGAGCGTGGTGCGGTCGCCCTTGTCTGCGCCTTAGACCGAGGCTTGGGTATGAGCCAGCCGGCAATGCCTGCAGCATCTGTGCAGTCCCTTGACTTTGAAATTCGAAGGTTCCGGACGTCAGGGCTGATGCCCATGCCTGTTTTGTCCTTTTTTCCTAGGCCTGGTTGCCTGTGAAAGAACCCCGAGGGCAGCTCTTTGATCGTTGGTCGGCTCCGCCCTGGAAGCACATTTACTGGCTTGCTCTAACAAGGTTGCATGGCGCCTGCCCTGGCTAACCTCCGGTTCGCTGCCGGCCCGTCCTGCCACGCTGCGGCTTGAAACCATCTTGGGGCGACTTGGAGACAAGGGCAAGTACCACCATCATTACCACCAGCACCTTCAGCACCAGCACCATCACCACTACTACCACCACCTCCACCACCACCACCAGCAGCACCAGCACCAGCACCACCTCTGCTGCTGCTACTACTACCACTACTACTTACCACGTCCTGGAGCTCCCAGTGGCGGCAAAGCACCACGAACCACACGAGGAGAACCGCCCGCCTATGCAAGGAAACTGGCAACCCGCAGCAAAGGTTAGGAGGTTCCCACTTCAGTGATACCACAGAAGAACCTCCCCTTGAAACGGAGAGCTAGCCTTTTGGAAGGCCTTCCATTGGTATCACAAAGCGGACAATTCCCACAACCCTGGATCAAATAGTCTCTGCCATGGGCAAAGCGCATCACTTCCTTTTCCTCGCAGCTTTTCAACTACTAGTCACAGCGTTTGCGCACTTGGTCTGAATGAAACATGCCAAATCCTTCTGGATTGTTGCTGTGACTGGCTGTCATAGGCTACTTTTGTGTGGCGTTTGCATCATGGAAACCGTTGTAGACTCGTGGGCTGCAACTCACCAGCCATCAAAGAGGCCCTGCGCAGCACACTCAATTGGTCAAGGGCATGCACTGCGCCACACCATGGCTTTGTGCAAAGCGCATCCGTCAGGCTGCTTCCGCTATCTTCCACTCGCAAACGCGCAAATGCCAAGCCGGGTGCTGCAGAGGTGACGTTCTGGCTTCGGAGCATAGACGGGACCTCAGGCATCACCTTACCCGGTAACCCTATCGAGCCAACTCCTGCCTTCTCCCTCTCCGGCTCTTTGGTTGGCATCAGTACCTGGCAGAATCTGCATGGACGTGGAGCTCCAAGGAGCGTGTGCGCCTCCTGTTCGCCAGGGCCTGGCAAATTCAGCCATCTGATTTGCCCTGTCGGAATTCCGAGGGGTTGACTTCCCAAAAGGGCCCTTTTTGGTTTTAGCCTTGGAGGGGCAAACAAATGCAAGGCCCGCCTAGCATGCCACGCACCTTCTGACCGCCCTCCAAATGCTTCCTCGGCATGTGCAAAACGGAAAAATGGTCTAGTGGCGGCAAAAGGCAATTTCTCGTTACTGTTAAGGCGATTCAGACCTTTCACTAAGGACTTTGATAAATCAATCCCAAACAATATGGCCATGGGTCAAAATCCCGTGCCCCCAGTGAACATCCCAATCCCCACTAAAATAGACTAAAATGGGCGGTGCACCTACCCCAAAATGGTACCATTGATTGGTTTTGACCCACAGCCATATGCGGTATGTAACCTCTCCCGATGAGTCGTTGCCTCATTGGGCTGTTGGATTTTCACGGCTTACCTTCTCTTTTTGGAATCCAAAGCTGCGTTAGACACGTACGGTTCGATGACGAGTCATGTCGCAAGGCTGAGAAGTGCCAAAGCCTGAAAAGCCAAGCAGCGTTGTGTGAGCAGATCCTTGGAGCAAATGACCATAGTCCTGAAGCCCATGCTAGATTCCGACACCACATCCGAGAAACCCCCATCACACTCAGGAACATCGCGCTGGTTGCTTCAAAAATGACCAACGTCAATGCGCGCCGAGCTGGCTAATGGAAGCAACTGAATCGGATTCTGAAGCTTTGCCAACGATCAAGGACATCTCGGTTCGGACAGCACTGGCTGGAAGAGTAAGTCTGCAACAAAGCACATAACACATTGTCATGCAGCTGAGGGATGGCATATACTGGACGTCGTCGATTCAGAACAGCCCCCTCCCACCGAGCAGCTCAGGCAACACAAAACGTGGTAACCAATCGAGGAAAACAGACTTCCAATAATCTCAACCAAACCTCTCTGCATGCAATGCCCCGACCAGTTTTCACGTGTCCTTGAGATTCACTGGCACTCGAGGCGGCGCTTCCAGCTGGATTCGGCCCCAGCGGCCTTGGTAGCAGCTCAGCAGAACACAACAATAGATTGGGCGCATTGCCAATTCTTAAAGGTAGGCCTGCGGGCGAAGGGGAAGCGTATAGGACAGCTAGCGGGCAGCAGGTGCGGTGTGTATGGCAACAGGCCTTCATTCCGGCCCACAGCTCAGGCTCCAGCCACGATTGAAATCATTGATCAACTTGCCAAAGAAGGGGTCTGGATTGTCTACCTCGACTGACTAGCCAACTACCAAGGTATCTGAACCGCCTGTGCCGCTAGGGCTGGTGCCGGCACAAAGTTGGGCAAGATCGGCCCCTCCAGCCTCAGTGCTGCCTGAAAATCCACCTTGTAGATTCTCCTTGTTTCTCGCCAGACCTGGGGCAGCTTCCGAGCCAAAATTGAGCGGCGCTGGCTAGCGGCTCGGTCCTATGCCTTGTGCATCCAAGCGGCAGTCCTATCCACCATGTGCGGGCTCTCTTTCCACAACTGTCAGGGAGGGAGGCTTGTCAGGAACTTGTGCTTGCACGCCCGGTTGGGACCCCGCGCCTTGCCCAAGCGAAACACCAGATCTTGGCCAGTCTGCTGCCGGTCCACGTGCTGGCACAGGCACGCTGCAAAAGCGTCAGACATTCCGACAACTGGCATTGTTCGACTTTCGGCTCTTTCTCGACACGTTCGGTTGTACCCGATGGTCCATGTCAAGATTCAACCCACCACGGAACCCCCGTTAGCCTGGCCTTCTCCCCGAAGACTCGGCACATGCAAAGGAGCTCTTGCTGCTCCTGGAGCCACGTGCATTGCAGAGCCATTTAGTATCATTTAATAAGGGACCTTATGACCTTCATGGTTGAGATGGTTTTACCCCCAAAGCTCGCCAGAATTGATCGGTCAAATTACAAACCTTCACACGCCCTGTGACCCTCGCCAACGCCTTGCTGAAGCGACGGCCGAAACCAACCGGGATGAAGCCAGGCGCATCCAGGAACTCCAACTCTGTGTTCCTGGTAAGTACGAAGGCTCTCTCTCTCTCTCTCGATTAAGTATGCACACCTCTTGGCTGCCCACCTGAAGCCACCGATCTTGTGCCACGTGAGACGTTTGGTCAAGCCAGGCCGGCCATCCTGAAACGTGAGTGGTTCGCGCGCATCTCAAGTCTTGCAGGCGCACCCGCGCTGCAACTTTGCGACCAGTCAAGCGGTTGATGATCGAAGACTTGCCAACCTGAGCTGCATGTCTACAACTTCCTCCAGGTGCTGGCTCTAAGCCGGCGGCGTTGGGGAAACCAATCCTTGGAACAAGCTACAATGGGGAACTGAAGGAATTAGCCTTGCACGACCTGATTCGTCAGAATGCTGCCGAAGCGTCATCATAGTTCGAATGGCTCTCGGATTGACTCCCTGTCGCTTGCGCCTTTCAGACAGGCTGTTTCTCTTGCGGGCCCCTTCAATTGTCAAGCTGCACGCCTCCTGTTGACGTGGGCACCGGCCTTCAGCAGCTCCTCTCTCAACTCCTGGCTACAAGTCGAAGGCGTCCCAGGAGTCCCAGGCAGCGCATGGCAGCGCCCGCCCGCCTCAATACCGAAGGTGCCCAGCAGGCCGTCGACTCCCACGACAGGCGTGCCGCGGTCGCGGTCGCTGTCTTGTATATAGCGGATTGTCTCCTGGAGAAACCCCGTCAGCGTCCGTTGACAACCGATCCAAAACATGTAAAGCTCAGCGTCAAACTGTGTGCTGGGCCCAGAAAGGCAAGACTGATGGCAGGCCACGTCTTTTCAAGTCGGTCACGGCACTTGTGCGAGGATCTGCCAGACATGCTAAGCCATCTTACAGGAGTGATTGTGATTCTTGGCAGGTCGTGAAAGAGCATCATGAGCAAACAAGTTGCCAATGGCATCAGGATGCACGGCGTGCATCAAATCAATGAAAGCGTGGCACCAACGCCAGAAAGAGTCTGGACGCATGCACAACACTTTCTGCAAACAAATGTCTGGGCGGCGCGTCAAGAAGCAAAGCCGCTGTTGCCCTACCCTGTCAAAGGTTCAAACAGCAACCTCTGTTTTTGATTTACTTTCGGCAGTCTTCGGCGCTTCAGTTCAGAGCCCGGCCTGAAGTGCTGCCGGTGGCACCAAGTCTGCCTTGCTCAGGACGATCACGCGTGGCCGCGGCTTGGCCCATTCTGAGGGACGAGCTGCAAATTGACTACGCTCAGTCATGTTCTTGCAGAACTCTGGATTGCCATTCCCAACTCCAAAACAACTGACCCATATAAACAAAGTGTGCAGGTGAATGCTTGCCGTTTTCTTGTTGCGCAAATCTGGTCTGTGAATCCGGTTGCCTGGCACATCTGGATGTGTCGTCGTCCATGGTATCCGTGCATCCCGCACCTTCCGGAGGCGGCTTGCCACTGGGCAAGCGTCGTCTTAGATTGAGCGGCCTTTTCACCAGGTCACCAGGTGTTTTCCCTCTGAAAACATATACCGGGAATACCCACAAAATGCTGCGTGACTCTTCCATGGAACTGACACAAGTCAAAGCTGTCGCATCCTTGCCTCAATGACCACGTCCACTCGCTTCATGTGCTTCAGCTGCATATCACGGATGGCCTCAAGCAGGGTAGACAGCGGCTGGGGGAATTGAGCCAATGGCATCTAGAAATGGCCACAATGCACACCCTCAAAAGGCGGCAATGCCTTGGACACTGGACTTGCTTGAAAATGACCCAAAAACTGCTGGCACAGGCACGTCTTGCAGGCTGCGCTGCATTGACTCCAAGGTGTTCCGTATTAATCAGTCTTACATCCAACACCACGTGGCATTTCTGCCCAGCTCAGGGTCCGACCACTGTCTGGTACCCCGGCCGCCAGTCCAAGGGGATATCTTTGCTTGACGCGCCTAAGGCACATGCTCCTCACTCTGGGGCTCTGGGGGTCTGAGGGTCTGGGGGTCTGGGGGTCTGGGGGTCTGGCTCAAGCGAAGCGTTGTCTGGTCACTCACGGCCTGCCCATCGAAGCGGCGCACAAGTCGAACATGAGACCCAGCGCCTCGAGGATCTCCTCCGCACTCATGGACGCCAACTTTTTGAAGGAGTTCTTCTCCACCTGAACAAAGATGGTCTCCCGGTCTCGCAAGCGCTCCAACATAGGTAGCCACTCAGGCCGACCTTGAAGCCATTGATGCCGCCCAAAAGCTGACAGCCTGGAGCGCAACATCGTGCAACATGATACGTTTTCACTCTCCATGGCTCCAGCCTGCCATTTCCAAGCGGTTCTTGGGGTTTGGAAGGTATCGCAGGTTCACGCCATCCTCGGGCATGAGCACTCTGTCTGACAATCAAATATAGCCAAATTGTGAAACGCGGTGCTCCTCCTCCATTCTCTTCTTCATCTGGTTTTCATAGTACTTCTTCATTTTCCTAGCGCAAGGTGCTGACTCTTCCAACCACGTCGGTATGAGACTGCAAAGCCGGCCTCTTCACAAACTTGCTGGTCATCCAGAAGGGCTTGTCTTCTATATATTGCAATGGCGCGTACCTGCAGCCCGATGCAATCAATAACTTCACGCCGTGGATTTATCTGAACAGGTGCAGGGGCGTGCTGTGGAGTTGGCGAGTAAATGCCAAGCTTTGTCTTCAGCTTCCACCTGGGCGATTGCACGCGGGTGAAAGTCTGCTGATGCCGCATCTTGCTCTGCTTTTGGGCGAGGACGGCTTCTCTTCCGTCAACCACTTCAGGGCATCTTCGGCACTTCGGTTTTCAACCGCCTTCATGAGAACCTGGCGGCGCAATTCCGAAGGCATGATCTTTGATCTTGATTGGCCAGCTCAAAACTGTGCTCAGCTTTGGCTCAGAAGCGAGCTTCGAAGTCGGGAACTTTGAAGTCATCGACGTCCGAAGGCAAAGGCATCCGGTACGCTTCTGGCAGCTTGCAACACCACTCTCAACAGAAGCCATGCATTCAAAGTTCGGCCCGACAAACCAGCACGTGCCAGCTGGACTTGTGAGTCCCCCGTACTTGTCCTTAGTTTGGTATGATGACCGCTAGTTGTCGCTAAGAACAAGGCTATCAGCTACAGCTGCCGTTGTACCAAGGATCGCGGTCAGTTCGTATGACTCCTGACCATCCTTCTCCGGGGCGTGGGTCTTTGGCAACTGGCAATGCCGGTTGGATCCGCAGAACAAGCATTCAAGCACCCAAGCAAACCTGAATCAGATTTGACTGGCCTTCTTTGCCGCCGGGTTGACCATACCTGGTTGCCCGTTGGAGTCTTCGGCCAGCAACAAGACACCTCAGCCACTTCAAGCATGATCCTGACGGGAGTGGCGCCACTTGGACACTCACAAGCACCCACACCACAAGGCGGAGCTCGAAGATGACCACGATCGCTGAGCGTCGCCTAGCTGGCCTAGGTCTCATCCAAATTTCAACAAGGCCAATGCTACCACAAGGCCCATACTGGCAGTTGGCACATCAGTTCTGGGTGGCCTGCCACCAAAGTGTGCCATGACACATGAGACACAGGCCTTCTTCGCTTGTACAGTCTAAGGCTCTAAGGCCTGCATGAGGCTTGCCGTAAAACCTGGCCTCCAAGTGCGCGGCACCAAAGGCGTGCTGCGATGCGATGCGAGGATGGCAGCCATCAGCACGTCTTGTGATTGGCACTTGGTGAATGTCTTCGTGACTGGTGCTTGTTGCGCAAGTCTTTGGCGACAAGTGCAGGAAAGCTGTGCCCGGTCTGCACATCTTTCTCACATCGAATGAATCGCCCTCTTCTTTGCTGAAAGCCACTTGCAAAGGCGCAGATCGCAGGTAGACTAGACTCACAGACTAAACATACAATAACTGGCAGCCAATTGCTGTATTGTCATCGAGTCTCTCATCACAGGGCACCTGGGTGTCCACCTTCAGCGTGCCAAGGCTGACCTTTTGGCAAGCTGGATCCAAACGTCGAATCGTCCCTGTCCCAGGAGAAAATGCAACAAAGCTTTCACACGAGATGATAGACGTGGCTGGCAAAACGTGTGTATCATTGTCCCAAATTGCTCGGAAAACCAATCGAGAACCGTATCAATGCTCCCTTTGGGCTATCAAGTTGATCCTCTACACTTCACGTGCGTTCCGAGCAGCTCCTGCCATTGCGGCAGCTGGACGTCCAAAGTGCACCAGCGTGGGGCCTCCCACCTGCGGGGGCCGGCGAGGGATCGAGTGCGCGAGAAAGGAATAGTCCAAAGCATCCATGGCACAACTCGATCGATCCAGCAGTCCAAAAGAATCAACGAATATTCAAAAGAATCAACCAATATTTGGCCTGGGGTCTTCCCCCCCTTCATTGACCCGGGTGTTGCGTGAAGCATTGCCGGCTTCGTGCCCGTCGATTCGTCAGGTTTGCGCCGAGTCATCTGTACACCGTGCCAGGGCTCCCAAATGGGCTTGCCTGGACGTGGCTGTGCCAAAACTAGGGGCCCTCTTTGGAACATGTGCCAAAAGGTGACCAAATGTGACCAACATGAAAACTCCTGTTTGCGCGGGTTTCCAGCTTTGACACACAACCACTTGACTCCCTACGACTGTACAATGGCCAAGTGGGCACGGCCTGGCCTGTTCCCTGGTCTGCAGAATCTTGCTATGCCACACTGAACGAATCACGGATCACAATTCAGCTAGTTTGGCTTTGACAGCCAACCTCCGATTGATCACGCAGGCACCACGCAGTCTTTGCACGTTGGGCTCCTTACCGCATCATCCACAAAAGAATGCATGAAGCGTTGCATGCAAGTGAAGTGAGTGCAGCCAAGTATTCCTGCGGTGCTTTGTGAGCTGCGCCTGAACCGTTCCAGTGGCACCTCCCCCGCCCTCAAGCTGCTGGCTCTGCTGTTGCCTGAGTGCCGGGCCTTGCTGAAGCGCTCCAAGGGTCGACGGCGGTTGCAGACTGCACATTGGCGCCCCTGAGGCTGATTGACTTGCCAAGTTGGGCCACTATGCCATGTTCAAAGCTCCGCAGGATCTCCATGGTTGGGAATGTTGGCTCGATTCCCCATTGGGGACTTCAGGTGAACAACTTGACACCACACCAGCCCAATTTGCGAGCCGCGCCTCTGGGTCCTCATCGGATTGCTCGTCTGCCCGGCCTAGTCAAAATGTTGGCTCCCAGCTTTGTAGCGTAAATCGCCATTCCATGGGGGCCCGTATCATTCGGGCCGCATGAACACTTAACCATTGTGGCACAATAGGATTGACTAAGAAACGTACAAATAACTGACAGGCGCGCTAGCGCGGGCCTTTTCTCAGCTGCTGTTGGATGGGCTATCCGGGCTAGTGGCTTCGTGGGTCTTGCCTCCAACAAGGCACGTGCCCCAGCGTTCAAGTTGGCAACTGCCTGCTAGCGCGGTGCTAGCGCGGAGCTAGCGCGGAGCTAGAGCGAAAAAACTGCCCATGTTTCCACATTTTTCGCAGGGCCACACGTCGCAATGTCGGGTCCAGATATCGTGGCAGGCGCGATACTTTCGCAAGGTCACGTTCAGATATCGTGGCAGGCGCAGCGCTTTCGCGAGGTCATGTGGCAGGCCAGCGCTTTCGCAAGGTCAGGTCAAATAGTACTTCGTCTCCACTCTCCGCATGGTAAGACTTTGTGAGCAAGGAATGCCTCGAGCCCTGAGAGCGACCGGACAGAGGGGCCATGCGTGCGCATCTCACTTGCCACGTCAACTAACGTCCCCGACCTGGCGCCGAGCTAGCGCGAAGCTAGCGCTGCCAGTGGGATTTGCAAGATTTAGGTGGGGGCCCGCTTCATTTCAAAAAGGAAAATTCAAGATGCAACAGGAATTGTGAACATACTGTATATAGCTCCTTATCCGGCCTTTTTGAACGGAAGCCTGCCCCGCCCTTCCCAGAAAAGGCCTGCAATTGGGCAACCAAAAGCCGGTCCTGAAGCACGCGGGGACTCGGCCCCGGCAGGCTGGTGTAGTTTCACCTGACATGATTTCATCACAAAATTGTTCACTGAAAGGTATCCTCTGCCGCAACTGTCTCCACTCAAGGCTGAACGCAAAACGTGAACCAAAGGGATCACGCTTAGGATGCTGTCGAGCTGCATACCACTCTGGCTCATAGCCCTTGGCAGGACCTGCAGGCACCAGGCACTGAGGCTGATCAGTGCTTTCTAGCGCATTGAGCCACTGGCGCTTCTCCTTGAGAACTGGGAGCCTCTTGCTCCTGTGCCGATTTGTGAATTCATGTTCACTTGCCGCACGCAACAAACCTGCCTGCGCACCCAGTGAGTTCCTCTGGCTGCCTGAGCAGGTGACAGTCGGTTGAAGCGAGAGGACCGGCGGAAGCCGAATGCTGAGCTCTGGTCTTTGACTTTCAAACAAGAGGGGCCCAGTGCTTGCAGAACATCCTCCGGGCTGGCGCCTTGCGATGCCCAATCTCTGGCAACTTGGTAAAACCGATTCGCTTGGGGTGGCGCGGTGAACATCTTGAACGCGAGGGCAGGAGAGGATCCACTGCAGCTCCAACCAGCCCGGCTCCGGTGGCTCGGAGATTTTCTCCTGAAAGAACCTGGCAAAAGCTGCTGGATGCATCTGCTCGCCAACAAACATCGCCCAGTCCGGGGGCTAGTCAAGAGAGCATGAGATACACTTGCCAGACTCGAAAAGCGGTTGGACATTGGCATGATCTGGCTTGGGAAAGCGCACAGTAAGTCCTCAATGTCTTCCACAAATCACGCACACCCTGAAAACTTCGCACTTAAAGTGGCAGCTGCACCAATCTTGCTTGAGATTTCTGTCCTGTCGAATCAAGTCTCACCCGTGAGCACTGCTCCAAACAGAATGGAGGCCTCACGTGTAACCCTGGCGGACACTAGTTGTGGACAGTACTCTTTCTTGTCCAAGAGGACATACGAAAATGGGCAGCCCACTGGGATGCCCAGCCAAACCAACAATAGACTTCTTATCTTCTAATACTGCCAATTGCTATGCATTTGTGGCTGGCCATCGACCATTGTGCTTTTGCCTCAGGAGCGCAATGTGGTCACGCTCATGACTGTGCAGTCCGAGAAGTAGTACTCGATCTGCCTTCGAACTGCGCGAAGGTACAGCGCTCGATGTCCGCGACGTTGGATCGCCTCATCTGACCACCACGAGGCATCAGTATGTCAATGCATGACAGCGTTCGATCGCACATCATTTGACACTCCATAATATGTGGGAGGCATCCTGTTTGGTTGTGCTTCACACACTGAAAGTGCACATTGCTTCGAATAGCCTAAGCGTCATGGAACATATTCAAATCCACTATGCGCCAAAACACAGCCGTTTATACTGCCAAATGCCAAAGGCTTGGACAAAAAACATGAATGACTGCTTTGATGCTCAACTCAGAATTGCAACACAAGTAACATACGGTTCTGACTCTCGGCAGTGCTTGAAAACCAGGGGCTAGCAGTTTGCCGTGAGGGGAGTCCACGCAGCAAGACTGATGCCGAGCACAATCAGCGCGTGCAAACACGAGGAGGCTGAGCAAGCATCAAGAAACCAAACATAATTTCAGCTATGAGGGTTGCGGCAACATTGAACATAAGAGCTACCAATAAAATCAATTGTCTCCGTCAAGGAGGATTTTATGTTGCTATTGTTTTTGGCGAGGGCCCTATCGCTTTGCAGCGTTCTGCGCATCTTATGGTCTTTTGTGGGGGCCCTGTCGTCGTGCGAGGCTTTCTGCAAATTCGCCTCGGCCCCAATGGGGCCCAAGGGCGCTCAGATCTCTTTTCCAAGAGCAGCCCCTTCCCCGTTCTGAGAATGACGATGCTCACCCTTGTTCCGAAAGCTGGCCAGGCCTGTCTGACGTGTCTGAGAGACTAGCCTCAGGCCCAGCCCGACCAGCGACCCGCCCAAGCCAGGCCCAAGGCAGGCCACAGCTGCCCAACACCTAGCCTGAGGCCCAGCCAGCAACTCACCCAAGCTAGGCCAGCCCGACCGCAGGCCCAGCCCAACCCGCGCGCCAACCCATTCTGGCTCGAATGACTCCGACCGATCCACGCTTGAAAAAGACCCACGCCAACACAGCCGATCAAGATTGCCGTGCGCCTTGATCGCCACAGCTTTGCTTTGGTTGTCGATGCGCGACTTCCGCCCATGACATCCACTGCCCCAGCACGCAGCGCCACTGACTCCTGGCTCCATAACTCAATTGTGGTGCATACTATGCGTCGCCCTTTGCCTCGGGGATTCCTGCGCAACTTCGGCCCATGACATCAATTGGTCCAACGACGCCTAAATCGCCACTTGACCAGCTATGCTGCTTGCAGTTGAACCACAGACGCTGCGCGCTCGGCTGGGCCGAGGCGGGCAACGCGCAGCGTTTGCAATTATGCTGCCGACCCCGCTTTTCTAGTGATCTACGCATATTCTGACCGTGACTCATATCCGCCGACGACCCCTACGTCTTGGATAGCCCACTTATCTGTTCACTTGGCCCAAAGTCCAACACCAGCAACACCCAGCATCATTCAGCAAGATCGCGTTAACCATACATTTAATATGGAGGTGTCAGTACCACAAGTTTCAACAGAATCTTCATTCATACGTCGGGACTTCTTCCTTTGCTGTGCAGGTTGTTGTAAATGCAAGGGTGGGGATGCTGGGAATGTTGCCTATTGAGCCTTATTACACACGGGATTTGCTTGTTACGTTGGACGCTGTTGCCCAAACAGCTTTTCCCTTCTGGAACCTGTTTCCAAACCGACAATGACAGGCTGGGCAGGGCAAAAACTGGCTGATATGTTGGTACTAGGGGAGAAGGTTGATGTTGGGCTGAAATCTGGAGCAACGAGCCAACATGCGGATTTGTTGTCTACAGTCAATTCGTCATTTTGAAAACATCGAGTGATGTTTAGCACTAAGCGGGGGCGGCATCTGCGTCCCTGCGACATGTACCCAGCCTGGCTTTCTTACCGTTGCCCCTTGCAAGAAAAGGACCTTACGTGCTGCAGAAACTTATTTTAAAATCAGTGCTTCCACTGGTAAATGAGCATGTTTGCGATACCCGCCCATAACTCTCAAGTTTTGACTGTACCAAACCAATCTCACGATGACAATAAGAATTTGTCTGAACACGTTCAATAAGAATGTGTCATACATATCACCTTGATCTTCTCAAAATGGAACTGCCATTATAATTGGTGTTGTTTTAGCTTGAACCACATTTGCTCAAACTTGCACCCCAACTTCCTTCCAAGTGCCGCCCCATCCGGCCTTGTACGCGAATGGCTGCTGCACCCTTTCCGTCTTTCCAGGCTGACGAGGTTGCATGTCCGCCGCCAGTGCCTGCAGCTCCCGGCACGCGTGCAAGTTCTCTGCTTTTGCGAAACGGGCCATGAACACCTCGTAAGCGCAACAAACAGCCGAATGGTTGCCAGGAGATCATGCGCGAAGCAGACAACATGCCAAGGAGGAGGCATGCGCATGAAAGCCTTTGACCTTCACTTGCTTTCAGATGGTCACCAGTGCAACACAGGTCAGCACCTCGCTCTGTTCCGCAAGCTCCTCCAACTGCACAAAGGCCTGAAAGCACAATCCAGGCACAGTTGCCCGAAGAACTGGACAATACTCCTTGCACCCTGAAACAAGCGCGGCAACCTGGTGATGTTCTGGCTTCCGCTATGAACTTCTCGTTTGAGGACAAACAACAGATCGCCTTTCCCGCATTTCTGCCATCTTTGGGAGTGCAAAAATGGTCATACAACGACGTGGAAAAGAAGCACGCCTCATCAAGGTCTCCATCGTCACGCACAGACCACAAAATGAAGCCTTCAGCCTGCAGTACGCAGGGTTTGGAACCCGCAAACGGACTGCCTGTTGAAAGCCAGCCTCCATTGGAACTTCAAGTCTCTCTTGAAAAGCTGCAATGACCTCCAAGTGGTCAGTGGAAGACTCCGAATCGCAATACTGTGCAGAGCGCTTGTTTCTAGGGTAGCACCATTGCTGAATTCAGTTGCCCACCTCCAGGCTCGAGTTCTCTGCTGGAAGGGTCGCATGACCAAATCGCTGGAGAACGCGATCCCCGCACTCTTCCTCAGTTGCTCAAGGCAGTTTCCCACTCAAACGGTGCAACTGCGAAGCTTGGCATACACATCAAGCGGCACGTGCTCAAAAAGCAACTTTCATCAGGCGCCTGAAAGCACTCCTTGAGGAGTGCCAGAGTCAAAAAAAATGAGATGCAAGCCCCCAAGCTGCAACAGGGCACTTCATCCCAATGGGACATGGGGGAAAGCGGCGAAACGCTGAGCCTGCACTCAAAATTCAGGCATCTGAGCTGGAATACTGCTATGCTTGTCCGAGCATGACAGCTCCAATCAAAACGAGGAAATTCGATGAAACAGGGGCGATGCCCATTCAGTGAAACCAGGGTGCTTACAAATGCTTTGGCATTGTGCTCGCCCATCAATTCTGGTGCGCATCACGTCATTCAGCTGAGCTAGAACAGCCTGCGCATCCAGTGCTTGCTCCGATCCAACGACTGCAATGCCGAACACCTGATGCTGTTTGGATATGTATCAAAAGGGGCTCTGGTTTTGTTGAAGGTTCAGAGAAGATCGAGCCAAGGTCGCTTAGCATTTAGAGACATGAGGCATGCCCTTTTGGTCGCACAGGCCTCGGAATGAAGGAGCGCTTCTTGGCACCTGCAAGCTGATAATTTTCTCAAAGCGATGGAACCACACGCCCTTCGACTGTGCCCACCTGTTTCCTTCGGTCTCTCTTCTCTTTCCGGCGCACGCGAAGGGGTCCTGGGCACAGATTGGATTCTTGCAAACACCAGCAGGTTGATTGGGACCTCTTGGAGGGCAAGCCGACATTTGCCTCTTAGCACACCTTCCAGCAGCTGCCTGTATATCAAGCTGATTTGGAGAACAGGCCAAGTGCCCAGTTCTTGCAACATAACACGTGCCCAAAAGCTGATTCGCGCTGTGCAGGGCGAAACATTCCAATGTTGGCCTCCCCAGACTACTGACAAACAAATGCGCCTGTTTGCAAACGTGGAAGTATTTATCATGCTGATGTCATTACCTCCTCTGACCGCCGATTTTGGGCATCCGCGCGGCCCTTGTACGTCGTACTGCCTGAGGCCGCTTGAGAGCAAAGCCCACACACACGAAGAGACATCTCTGCTCAAAAAGGAACAACCAAGGGCAGGCAAATGCAGCCAACAGCCCAGGCCGACCGTGCAATGCACTCCCTGGAAATCCCCAGCATGCCGGATATAAGGACGCATACAAGTAGGGAGTACCACACATTGGGGAACGTATTGGGTGGTACTGCGTCAGGAATTCGCTTAAGGATACCTGAAACTGGAAGCACGTTCGAGTCGGGGACTGTCTGGCATAGATGGAGATCGGCCGCCTCGAACTCCCGGGCTGCCTCAAGGCCATTCAGTTCGCTCATAGCCGTAACACTTATGACTCATGACCTGCCACAATGAAAATGCCAAACACCGCCTCAGAAAAACAACTCAGGCTCAGGTATCATGAAAACCTCATGCTGGCTTGGCTTGACGAGATGGCCTCTGCACCGGGTTGTAGTGGGGGTTCAAAGTAGCTCCTGGAGAAGCGGTGGGCAGTCCACAAAAAAGAACGCAGACTCTTACCAGGGGTGTGGTTTGATTCATTACTTTCCCCACCAGTAGATCCGCAAAATGCAGGGTGTCGAGTCCCTAAAAGGTGCCCGGCCAGCTGTCCTCGTGCCTCTCCCACTGCAGGTAGCCGCGGCTGCCGTGAGGCAGCACTCGCCTGAGTGCAAACGGCGCCAGTGGCACGCTATCAAAGGGCAGCTGAAGTCCGCCCAAAAGGACAGACGTCCCAAAACTTCTCACAACTCGGGATACATTCGACATCAACGCATCGACTTCTCAAGTTTAAAGCCCATGCCAAGTGATTCGCCTGGTGAGCTCCGCTGACATCGCTCTCCCTGGTAGGCGTGTCCTGAGACTTGGCTTTCCAGGAACAAACTTGCTTGGGGCATACTTGGAGCACGTCCCCTGAGGCAATCTTTGCCCTGTTGCTGTATTTGGTGACTGACCTCTTCTGCTTTCGATTTCATCAGACATGCTCCAAGGTTAAACTGGTATCGTGGAATGATTTCAAGCAACCAACCATGTACAGCCAGACTGTAGACATCAATGTAAACATCAATGACAGGGCGGGTCACTTGTAGGATGACAGGCGCACGGTCAAGCATCTTGAACTTGCCAAGTATAATGTATCTTAATGCCCCATACTTGACACTGCTCTGTTTCCCTCAGCAAGAACTTCTAGTGAGAATCTGCAGTTTTATCGATCCAACAAGGTGGAAATCTATTAGCCGTGAAAGCAAAACGTGTGAGATGCCTCTGTCACTGGGACAATAGTCGCTGTGCCGGCCTGGGGCCGCCGGGCCCTACCGTCATCACGGCCGCGCTGCCTCAGTGGCGGCAGGGGTGGGATGAAGTGAGGAATCACAACAGAAGAAGTCACTACACCAAGAAGCTGAAGATATGCGTCAAGGCTGTCGCCATCCTGCCATGCCAAAAGATTCTGTGCCCTTACTTCAAGCTGCCCGCCTCCCGAGCAGAGCTCACAGCAGCTCCGCTCGCTCCCCCTGCACTTCCCACAATTCGTGGTCTAGGCAGAGGAGGAAGACCTGACACATCCCCTCCCTCTCTCCCATCTCGTCCCTCTTCTCGTGACCGGGGGGCGTCCTGGCCTGATCCCTGGTCAACTGACGGCAATCGTCGTGCCCGCCCGGGGCTGTCTTCAAAGGTCTCCGACTCTTCTGGCAGCAGTGCGTCCTGGCAGAGTTGCTTTTTCAGCCAATGCTTACATCTTGCAAGCTGTGTGGCATGGAACTGTCCCGCAAGTCCACTTGATAGCGCGGCTTCGGCAAGCAGCCACTCAAATCCTTGGGCCATGGTGCACAAAGCTGGCCGTGCTGACAACACCAGCATTGCTCAGCTCAGGACAATGGCGTTCTTTGGGAGCTTAATGGTACTCAATAAGTCCGAAGTAAACTTCTCCTGGGATCCAAATTCAGCCTCTGTATCTCCCTATCTTGCCGGTGATGGACATCTTTGCCATTTCGGCCCGCACGAGTCCTCTCGAGAAAGGCCGCTACAATGGCGCGCCATCTGCGGCATTTGGTACAGCTGATCAACTGCTGGACCTGGCGTTTGCTCAACATTGTGGTCTACAATTTAGGGGCCCCGTTTTAAATTCAAAGGGATATCACAAGAGAATAATCCCGTTTTGAGTCCCCCAACTTTGGCCACTGATGGAGCAACGAGCCAGATGGTTTCTGACAAGATGGAAGGTCTGGCCGCATTTGCCAGCTAAGCTTGCCACGATTTCGAGGATGCACCTCACATCTTCATCATCTTCACAAATTTCAGCTCTGGCTGGAAAGATTGAAAAGTTGGACCAGCCTGCAGAAGTGCAGCTACGACATCAGCCAAATCTTGACCTTAATCGCGTAGTTTTCTTTTGGTCAACGCACCCATTGTGCAACCTCGTTTGGCAGCTAGGCCACTGTAGTGTGCTGGAATCCGGGGGTATTGCCCACGGACTACTTTGCCTTAGCTCCAATGATGCACACCAAGCAAGTGCCGATCTAGATCTGTCTGGCACTCTGGAATGAACAACCGACTCATTCAACTGCCAATGTATAAAACGAAAAACTCCGGAACCCTCAAGAAATGGCCGATGATCGACAGCACGGTTTCCCTTCCATCTCCGCCTTCTGCAGTCTCTCACTGCCCTAGTCAGCTCAGTCAGGCGACGGTACAGTCCTTCCATGTCTTCAGCGCGGAACGGCGGCCGCAACGCCACCATTTCCTACAATCCAAGCAACGGGCCAGTGAAAGCTGTTGTTTCACAGCAAGCAATCAACAGCCCAACAAGGGTAGGCGGGCTCACGTGATGAGCCACAACTACATGTGTAAAATAATATAATGTGTCGCATCCATGGCCAAGCAGCGTAAAGGATACAGCCCAGTGACCACATGTCACTTTTGGCCTTGGCAAAGTCGCGAGTCATACAAGTCACAAACATCCCACATGGCCAGTTTGAATGCCTTTGCGAGCTATTCAGCAAAGCGTCATCGTATGGCATGTCCCGCCAAACCTCCGGTGAGGCATAATACGGCGTGCCAGTCTGCGTCATGCAGAGTCCTCGCTTTGCCACCTGCAGAACTTCCAAACATCTGCTCATCTGAGAGGGTACAGCTACAAATCTTGGTTGGATTTTTTGCGCCTCTCGTTCCGCCAAACCCAGGTCGCAAGTGCAACGATTGATTGTGCAGCGAGCCCCTTGTTGATTCTTTGCCACAAATCCTGTTGCCGCCTTTGGACAGTCCCAGAGATGTGCGCCAGCTCAGTGCTTTTGCAGCTTGACTGAACGAAGAGGGCTTGCCCCCCTGCATCCCCTACATGGTTTGGTTCTAAAATCTCTCTCAGGACATCCAAGGAGCTGTTCTTCTGGAGCCTTCAACCCCGCCTTGGAGACGTTGAAGTCCCCGAGCTTTGCGATCGTCCCGTCTCCAGTGCGGCTCCTGGGAACCGGCAACATCCAAAATGTCTCTGAATCATGGATGCCCCGATCGATCTCGATGTTGCGCAAGCAAGAACAGTGCAAAATCATTTGCCTCGGCCCCCAAGGCCGGGAAGTGTCATCGGGATTTTCCCAAACCCAACCCTTTCTACGCACAAACCCCACCCCGCACCCATGTCGCGCGAAATCCACCTCTGAAGCGAGCCCCTAAAGTTGTCTGATCCGGCGAGATCGTTGGGATCGCTGCAGCCGCAGCCCAAAGGCAAGGGGTCAGGGGTAGAAGACCAGAGTGTTGCTTCAGATGGCTGAAGGGTGGAGGGGCCAAGCCCAGCCAACTAGCCCAGGCCAAAGGCCAGCCCCTCAGCACTGGCAACGAAGCCCTAGGCAAGCTTGGGATGGGCTGCTGAAGCTCCCAACCCTCAGCTTCCACCGCCAGAAAGCCAGCCCCTTGCACTTGTGGCCCCATGGGTGTCGCGCGCGGCAGGAATTCCACCCCGGGGCCCTTAGACTGCAGCTCTCGTTCTTGCCCTGGCTCGGGGCCATGTGGAAACGCGTGAACATGCACCCATTAGATCAGCTCACGCATTTCGGCGCCGACTCACAGCACTTCGGCGCCGACTCGCTTCGAAGCCAACCAAAGGAATACTGGCCCAGGTGGGCAGCGCGAAGCGTTTACAACCATTCACAACCTCGACCCAACCACCTGCCATGTTGTTCTGGGAACCTTCCGGGTGTTTGGCTCCATTTTCAAACATCAACAGCACCGTCACTGTATAGCATGCCTTGGCACTCCTGAAACAGCGGCTGTGATGGCATGTTCTTTGCATGTCCATTTGGGAAGTGGCCAGTGCAAACAGTGGCTTCGGGCAACATATTAGTACTGTCTCTATTGACTCTAGTTAGGGTCAACATTGAAGGCTTCAGGATTGGTGATTCACGAAGGTCACAAACATACTGCCGGAGGGTGTCGTCATTTCCTATCCTACAGCATGGCCAAGGCACAGGAAGACGTTGGCAGACTTCATGTCGCGGTGCAACACGCGGATGTCATGCAAGGCCTGCGCCCAAACACAAGCTCGGCGAAACCAGGGCCATCACGTAAACTGCGAATCGCGGCCTTCAGACCTTGGCACATCCCGTCCAAGTAGCGCCAAATATCCGCCTGGCTCCAGCATGTGTTCCAGCAGTCTTACACAGGCTGAGGGCCACGGAAAAGAACAGCAAACGAGCTTCGTGCCTCGCGCAGATAAGCGCGCTCTTGTTTGCACTTATTGATTTGCTGGAGGAGATCGCCATCAGCACACTCCTGGTGCGCATCCGACCCAAGCAAATTCCAACAACAACCCTCTTGCAGGCCTGTACAATGCACAGACATCTTGTCTTGTCATCCCAAAAAGCTTCTTTGTATGCAACCACCTGGGCAACGCATAGGCACGCATGGGCACGCATGGGCACTCGAGACAGGAAAGGCTGGGGAAGCTGTGAGAGCCAAGAGCAGGGCATTTGGATGCTTGACAGAAGCAAGTAGTCGCACCTTGGATTGGCAAATTTGCCATACCATTCACAGAGCTGCGCAAACGCGCCTCGTTGAGAGCATTTTGCTTTTCTTTATCTGAGAGGGAAGGCAACTTCACCTGTGGAGTGCCAACGGAGCTTATCAAGACGCTCCGCCCTCCGCTCGCCAGCCACCTGCCCGCCTTCTTCAACGCGTAGATCTCATTGTCCGCAAGTCGAAGAACCTGTATCTCATGCATTTTGTCTGCACGCGTGTCGTTTCTTTTGGTCGTTTCATGGCTTTGTGGCCTTGTACACAGCCGAATATGCTCCTTCGCCAAGCAAAGCAAGCCTCAAGCAACATCTCGTCACATGGTGGGTTGTGACGTTGCAAGCCCAAATGCCAAATGCACAATGTTTGCGAATCATCCCAACTCGACTCTCAGTTTCTGGCTGCTTGAAGTCTGAAAGGCTCGTCGCGCCCGCCATCAGCGCCCAGCCGGCTGCCTGCTTTGAAACAAGATGCTAGACTCCGTTCCTAAGCAGGCTTGGAAGGAAGAAAAGGTACTATGTATTGCAAAGCTCAGCCTCAAAGAGCCCTGCGGCACATGGCTCCACGCAACCAACGGCCCATCGCTTTGAGCAGAAATGGTACGTGCACATGCTACACAGCAGCCTGAGAACTCGACCATCGTGGCACTCACAGCATTGCAACATAGTCATCGCGCAAGCTGCGGGTTGCCAATTGTATGTGCTGAGGAGAGCACTGCAGGCACGTCCAGCCAAATGCATGCAGCACTTGCCTGAGCTCAATGCTTGTTGCAGCTGGAAAACACCATGATGGCAACAGATTTCCTCACCTGGTGTTCATCCGCCACTGCCAGCCAAACACGCCGCTGTAGTCGCGTCACGTTGCAGCGATCCACCACCACCCGCTTGCCCTGGCATGATGCAAGACTCATAATATGTCTCATGCTGCTTTGCCGCGGCATGCTGCACTTCTCTTGAAACAGGCAGGAGGCACGGAGCACAAAGCTTCATTGGCAGTTGCTACGCACTTCTTCCTGTCCTTGGTGAAGCAACAGGAGCGTGCACTCGCCTAGCTCTGAAGGAGCTGACCCCCAGGGTGTCTTGGTTGATGACGACCCACCTTTGCCAGGCCAGAATTCGGCACAACCGAGCTCTGAATTCGAGTGAACTTATTGGGCGCCCAGCCCTCGCTTCTGCAATCTAGTAGCAAGAGTACTCTTACCTCCGATGTCTCATGCTTCCAATCACACACTCACGTGAGCTGGGAAGGTCCAGACCCGAGCCAGGGAGGCCGACCAGGATCAGGACCTCACAGCGGCTGGGGTCATCAAATTGTCGAAGTCAGCTAAGAGTGCAGCCCGGAGCTGGCTAAGTTCCACATCGGATTGCAGTGCCTCCAGGTCTCTCAAGTCTCTGCTTGCAGCTCCGACTGCAGAACATGGCTCGGCCTCACCCTCAAAAACATCAGGACCCTCATCTGGTGCCTTCCAAACCACAGAGGGGCACAGAGGGCAAGCTGTAGCTGCCGGATAGGCCTCAAGAGGCTCAACGGGCAAATCCTCATCGAACAGGTCGTCGTCTTCTTGCCACCTAGAAGCGGAGGCAAACAAAGACCAGCAGTAATTGTGGCTAGAAGACATCCTGCCACTTACTGCCATTTGATTGGAGCACCACATCTACAGCTGAGGGTCGTTCAAAAAGAATAGGAACGGTGCCCTTTACTTTCCGTTTTTGAAGGGTGGCACATGGGACATGATCTATTCTTGAACAAGCTTCAGCTGGTGGTTCTCTTTTTTGCTTTCAGTTGAGGAGGTGGCTGTCCGCGCAGTGCTGCCTCCCAGCCCGCAAGCTCCGCCGCACCTGGCCCATTCAGAAGTCGGTCAGTCAAGCGCCTCCTTGAGGGAACCAAAAGCTCAGCTCTTGGCTCTTGGATTAGGTGCTGGCAACATGCTTGTCATTTGTCTTTTGGTTGTCTCTGTTTCAGTAGCCCACTGGCTAAGCCAGCTGACCTGCGAGAGAAAACACAGCGAGTGCCCGACCCGGTGCTTAACTGTAGGGCAAATCACTGAGTGTACAAAGCCAGCCATCGTCGCTTGCTAGCCACGCCAAAAAAGCATGCATCTACCGGCAGCATCAAGATCAACGGCCGGGCCACTCGTGAGGACTAGCTCAAGCTACTGATAGCGTTGAACGGCGATCGTGAAGAATAACTAACTTTCGCCACCTCCATCAAGGAGGGGCAATCCCCACCTAAGAAAGTTACATGACTGAGCTAGACTGCAGCCACACAGACACCAAAAGGTCAATCCGACTGTGTGCCAGGTCTCAAGCATGCTGCTGGCTGATGTGATTGCGAAGCAACTCAGTCGAAGCAAGGCAGCGCTGACCCTAACCAATGGCAGCTTAGCTGTTCACGAGGCACACTTCCTGTTTGGCGGGGCCAGGGCCTTCTGATTCTGCAAGGAACAGTCAAGCTCTTGCGAGGACAGATCATCTGCAGCCCCAAGATCCAACTACGTGGGCCGATTGCAGCAAGCGTGCAGATGAAAGCGTGGGCGCCGCTTGCCCGGCAAAGATTGCTGTCCTTTGGTCGCGTCTTCATTGCAGGCCCGTCCCGGCCTATCTTTTGGCCACTGGGAGCTTTCAGGCTTCAGACTGTTATTATGGCTGTCAGTTTCAGTCTGTCACAGCTGTCTGTCACAGGATCTGTTCCAGCTGGGCAGTCGGGCGGTGGGCGGTCGGATGTCACTTAAAATCTAACAACCCCAAACCTTTTGGGTAGGGAAACCATTGCGAGGTTCGTCGCGGAACTTTCGCTGGGCAACAGATAAGACCAACATTTGGCAAAGGCAGTCTATGTCCAAAACGTTATCGTTTTGGCTTGTTATCGTTTTGGTCAGCTACCAGCTTGCTGCCCAACAACCAAGCTTTCTAAACCTAGACTACCGGAGGTTTTGGACAGCCTCAAATGGCCTTCCCTTTCAATACAAGGCCCTGCCAGGACAGCTACCACAATTTCCAGCAGCAAGGCAATCTCAAGCTTCGCGACATGCGCCACAAACAACTTGCTGGCCTGTGCCAAATCCGCTCTCGGCTTCCTTCGACAGTCGGCACTCTCTACGCATCCAAAGCATAAGCACACATGCAGCATCCAGTCACTAAGTCTTTAAGCGTCAAGTCAAGTGCCACGGGTCAATGCTACAAAACTCTCTCCTGAATGACCGCGCAGCTCTCCTCAGGAGCTCCCCGCCACTGGCAAGATGGGAACCTGAAGGCGAGGCAAGAGCTCTGGCGTGCGCCAGTGCGCCAGCGCGCCGCTCTCAGGCCACCACGGCATCACAGCCTCTGGGAAGTAGAAGGCAACGAGCCTCGGCCGCGAGAAGCCAAAGGCCGAAAGCGTTGCCACCGCTGACCCCGGTACAGTAGAAATCACGTGGCCGAGCACAGAACGAAGCCATGCATGTTTGATTTCATCAAGATTGCAAGACATTGAAGACACACTCTTCCCTGTATTGCCGACTCGGCTTGCAATGCGCTCCATGACCAAGGCACCGGGGCAACTCATCAGCAGCCCAGCCTGTGCATTGAGATGCATGCCAAATGGAGTAAAAAATCAAAAGCGGTAGTGGCAGTTGCTATCAGTTGCATGTGGCGTGGAGAAGTATGATGGATCATGAAACATGATGACCCTTGATTGAACATGTCTTACATAACAACCGGTGGCCGGCTCATGTGGTCGTAGATCAAAACGCCTCTGACGTTGTGAACAGACCCAAAGGGGACTTGGCTATGCTAGATACTATGTGATAAACAATGTGTTTGGCATCGCAAGTTATGACCTTCACCTAAGACGCTACTCGTTTGAGCCATTTATCCTTGCAAACCTAAACCTCCTAAACCGCACCTGTGTCCAAACTAGGGACCCTTCCGAACCTCCAGAGCCCTTTTGGTGCTACAAGAACTGCGATGGGAAGAGCCGACTGCAGACTTCACATTCCCAGCCGAGGCACGCTGCTGGCGGGGGGGTCCCCGAAGCCACACGCCACACTCCTCGCGCCCAAAACTCAAAAGCGCCCACATCACCGTGAGTGTCACGAGGGTCCTGAAGTTCTGCCTTCACCCCGCACTTTTCGCCCATGATCTTCATGTCGGCGCCTTCAACGCGAGAAAAGGAGGCATTCCTACTGCGTGGGTGGGGCTCGCACCGAATGCCGAGCGAAGCTCATCACAACGCGCCGAGATGCTCGGGCCAGGAAGTGGCAATGGCCTCGGAAATTAGAGAAGAACCCAAACACTTGCAGCAGGCTCACTGAGCAGGTGGCTGCCAAATCGGGCGTGCTCTGACAGCATCAGCACGGGCAACTCGCAGACGCGCACCGTCAGCAAAGCGACTGCCAAATGCCTGGCATCCGGAGAACCCAGAAGCCATGGGGCCTTGCATCGTGAAATCGGGTTGGAAACGTCTCTACCGGAACATGGCACATACCAAAACTCATTTCAAGAAGCAGAAGCAGGGACAGAGCACTTGCACCAATCCCTGCAAACAACATTTATGTTGACCCGGCACCTCTTCGAGGGCTTCGACCTCCAGGTCACCCCAAAGCCTCAGCGACACAGGTTTCAAAGAAAGTGAAGAGCTCCACGGAAGACTCGGCACCCCATGTGAAATAGTAAACTGCAATCTGAGTGCCCAGCTGCACGCCATCTATTTCCAGGATCACATCGCCAGCTGCCAACCTGGGCAGCTAGATCTTCAGGCCAGGTAGGGCCAGTCTAGAAGAATCAAGCTGTCTTATCTATGTCTGGAGGATCTGCCCAGATATTTTTAGGTGGGACTTCTGCCGAAGCCAAACTTCGCACCATTTGTGTGAAGACAGCTGCTCTGCAGCACATCTGGCCAAATTGGCAGGAACCACCAGTGCCAACAACAGCCCAATTGCCCAACCCGACAAGTAAGCAAGTGTCAAAAGCCTCGCTCTTGAGAGTGGCCCCAGAATTAGGCACGAAAGCAGCTGGAGCCGGCGCCTGTGACGCTGGATGTTTCCACTGCGGCAGTCAGCACACCTGCGCTCTTGCGGTAACTCGTTGGCGATGCACAACGTCACGTCACCAGGATCCAGGATCTTCGCCTACTGCCCTGCGGCGATTCGAGCCACGTTGATCGCGCGGAGAATTCGAGCAGATCGCGTGTGCTGGTCGTGCCCTCGCCCGAAGGACTGCGGCCTGCCCCCCTCCTTTGGGGGGCAGCAGCTTGGGATGGATCAACCAGCTTGGGATCAACATGGCTCACTCAGTGAAGTGTCGCTTGTAAATCACCACGTACTCTGGATAGATCTGTGCTTCATCAAAAACCACAAACTCTCGGTACGTGCCCATCGCCGCTTCTCGATCTCCAAGGACAGAGTCGAAGATCCGCGTCTTCAGAGCTTCTTCGATCCTTGGAAGGTTCGACTCAGTGATGTAGAAGACGTTGCCCAATAGCGTGCGGCAAAGCAAGAGTGCCAGCTTGCCAGCAAAGAGCCCACTGGGATCTTCTGTTGCATACTCATCACTTTTGCTCGATGCTTCAGCCAAGTATGCTCCATCACCAAACATGGTCCCTGTGGTCGAACCAACTCGACTCATGTCAAACCCATTCTCACCAATGCCCAGAGCGCCACCGGGAGAAGAACCGTGGAATAGGAAAGCTTCATTCAGCTCCTTATCGGTGGCTCAGACATGCTAACACTACTCCCCCCATACCCCCCCACCAACTAACATGAAAGTGCACAAACCCCCCGTTCAAAGAGGAAAGTCGTCTTTCTACAGGGGTCTGTGCACTTCCATATTTGCCGGCGGGAGGGTAATATGCCTGTCAATTGAGGCACAATACTTGTTCCAAGTCACGCTACGCAACTGAAAACAATAAAACAAGGCTCTTCCAATCCAGGCTCCGATGTGATCTCCTTCAAGAACTCTGGCGCACAGTCTGGGACCTCACCTTCGTCCTCCTTTTGGACTGCGCGGGTCTTCACAGCGCCGCTCCCTGGCAGCTCTTGGATCAACGTCGGCCGACCCTTCGCGGCGAGTTCCTCGCGATCACGGCCGAGGGGCGAGTCATCCACCCGCCAAGAAGTTGGGGGTTGATGGACCTCTGTAACATGAGGCCAGTTGTTATTAATATGCTGTGTCTACGACTCACCTATTAGTTGACGGAGCTCAGGGAGCCTTTCTCCACAATCCTCGCTTTGAAGTCGTCTGCTAGTAGGGCTGCTACTGAAGAATAGAAGAAAAGTCCGGAAAATTAACTGGTGAAAACATGGCCGACTGCTGGCTGTCAAAAGTTATGGCCAACTCATGACTGAGGCTCTTGTTTCTTTCTCTCAAAGCGTTGCCAGAGTCTACTATCCTCCAACCGGATCACCTGAGAAACAACCAGCCGGGCAGGCAGACGGCCGTCTTTCCGATCACGGGTGACCTTGTGCACAAAAGTCCGATCTAGGAGCTCTTGCACCTTCTGGCAGTCAGCAGCGGATAAGTTGATCTTGTCATCGAATCCTTGGCTCAGATCCCGATTCTTCCAATACCAAGGCACACCTGTAGGCTGGGCTCACAGAACATGAGACGAGATGATGCAACGGCTTCCTTTGGTGAAACTCAGCGCCGACTTTGAGGGGCTCCCGATTTTTCTGATGAAAAAGATCTTTGGAAAACCGCGCCTGAGGCCACTTCAAGAGCTGCTCCCATGACCATCTCCGGCGCCTCCTCGTGCAATCGGCTCGGCCCTCCCCTCGCGTATTCGACACGTCGAAACGCTTGGGAGGCTGGGTCTGTGCGAACAGCTCGCCGGTGTTGCGGCGGGGCAGCCCACACGGTGATCGGGCGGTGCGAGATGTGCTTCAGAACCTCCCAAGTGATCTTGTGGCACTCACGGAAAAAGACGCACCTGATCCGAGTCGTCGTGCCTCTTTTCGACACTCAACACATGTTCCTACTCCCCAACAATACTTGATTGGCCCCCTCAGCTTGCGTGCAATAGGACTAACCTTCTTCAACCTGTTAACTCATTCTTGGAGCGAAGAACCCCCCAGGAAACATGTCCCGCAAAGCAGATCGGGCGCTGCATCGTTTTAGTGCCACCTGTATGGCAGGCTCAAGAGGAAGAAGCTCGAAAGCACATAGACCCAACGATGCATCCACCATGGCCTTTCTTCGCTATCATCCGTTCCTCACCGTTGAGGTTCTAGATTGAAAACCCCCTCATCATGTTTCTGACCAGCAACACTTTTTTCAGAAGGGGGCAAAGGCCTGGTTTGTATGAATTTGACACGCCATCAAACCAAAGGGGCAAACAACAGAAAACCACAATCAGGAAGGGTATCGCAAAATCTGTTTGGGGCAGCTGAGGTGCCTTCCTTCAAAATCACCATGACATGACTTTGGTGATCGCAGCTGATGAGATTCACCTCACTCTTGTCCTCTCAGCGAAACGTGGTAGCCCCCGGTTTCCGCCCAAATGAATCACCAAAAGCGATGAAGCAATTCTTCCAAATTGCCAAAAGATCACGAGTGGATTACCCTGCCCTACTTGTGGATCTAAATGGATGATGGCAAACACATTTTCTGTCAGCACCCTAGCTCCTGATGCGTATCCGAAATATTTCTTCGATAAAACTCCTCCTGCAGGCCTTTCATGCGAACCTCTTCCTCATGGTTCACCGGACGATAATCCAGCGGCATCTCGCACAGCAAGAACAGCGACTTGCCCTCCGACTGGGACCAGCGAAGCGAGCGTTCCGGGTGCAGCAAGCCTTCCAGCTCATCTTGCGCATCGTAAAGCAAATGAAACATCGCCAACATCTGCACAGGCGACAAAGTCTCATCAAGGAAGCCCTGGATATCATAAAAAGTTTCAGCATAACGTGTGTTTACGCGCTTTCGCTCAGTGCGCTCGTTGCCGTTCTTGTCTTTGGTCTTCTTCTCCTCGTAATGCCAATTCTGAATGGACCATTTGATTCGTGGCTCGGCCCGTTGCAATGCTGAAATCTGCTGCTGGAAGGCCTTTTCGGTCAGAATCCAAGAAAGATACTTGCAAGTCTTGTCAATGCAAGTGGCTTCAATCAAGTGAAATATATACAGCACCAGGCCCGCAAACACGTACCAGTTCCAGTCCACATCGCGGTCGTCAGCGTAGTGCTCGGCATCCCAAGCCAACACTCCACCAACAATGAGCATCGAGACACCAATGATTCCAGCAATTGCGCTGCAAATCGCCAAGGTACTTAGCGATTCTCGTTTCACCTCCTCCATCGTCAATGACGTCAGGCGCGTAGCCAGTGACCCAGGGAGGCGCGGGGCAGGGTGAGCTTTCTGCCTTTGGACCAAAGCTCTTCAACACAAGCTTTCGAGCCAAGCCTTTCGGAATCCGGGCGAAGCTGGTTGCTTGATTAAGTGTAGATGCTCTTGCCAGGCTGCCAAACAGAGGAAACCAAATGGTGTCCCGGAATCCCAAGACAACCCACAGACCATGCCCCCAAAAGTCAGGGCACCAGAAAATGAAGAAACAACAGAACACAAAGATCAAAGAAGCAACTTGATGGGTTTCTTCGTAAGTTCTTCCACCTAACCATCCTAACCGGAAGCCAACTGGGCTCCTGGCGACTGCTTCGGCTGCCCTTCTACGGCCTCCACCAGGTAGCCGTAGGAATCCGCCACCAGGTCCAGGCCAGCGCCGTCTGCGTCCACCTCTCGCATGCGGGGCCGGGCTCGGGGCGCTTCTACGTAGCCTCTGGCCATGGATTTGAAACTGGATGCACAGTCCAAGCGTTGATTGAATGTCATGACTCCAGGCATCATTCGACCAAACATGAAATTTAAAAGCTTCTGCAGCAACTCATGCGCGTGTTGTGACTGTGACGGAGCCACCTCCCGCTTCTTCTCTGCCGCGCATTTCTGGACAGGTGCGTCAACATTTGCTAGCTAAAGTCTTTTTGAGTGGTGTGGTGTAGAGTTCCGGGGAGTGGAGAGCAGCAGTGGCAGTGAGGCTGGTGAGTGGAGTGTGGAGAGAGAGACAGGAGAGTGGAGAGAGTGGAGCGCGAAATGTAGAGCAGAGGTGAAAACTGAAGAGAAGATGGAGTCCATTATAGAGAGGAGTGAAGCGTGAAGAGGATTGCCGAGTGGAGAGTTGGGAGTGGACAGCGAAGAGCATGCCGCGTGAAACAAAAACTGAGTACGGATGCGTATGTCAGCCGAGCAAGCAAGCGAGTTGCGGAGAGCGGTGAGCGGGAGCTAGGTGCAACACATGTGGGAATGAGACCGTTCTGACAAAGATCTGATCTGAGAAATGAGATTCCTTCGGGAAATGAGATGTGCGCTGCAGCCTGAAAACAAATCCCAACAGCTATCCTAAATTTCAACATGCAAAAATGCATCGGGAAACTATGACCCCAAAACCTATGTTTAGCAATAGAACAAGTCTGAGGCTCGGGAAAGGGCCTCAAGTATTCTATCTTTCCGCCAAATGCTTTTCTATCCTTCCGCCAGCCACCCCTTAATATGTTAACCTTGGGAGGACCAACCACAGCTAAGCGTTTTGTCCGCCTTGCTCTCAAGCAATTTTGCAAGACTCCACGTCGTTTCACGCAAGTTGATTGGCCAGGGAGTCCGGGCCCTTCGCGCCTTGAGCTCCTCAAAGCGGCCGCAAGCGTGTGACTCCGCCAGCTCCAGCCGCGGGAACGAGGGCTCCAGCTGAAAGCTGTCGCCTGTGACTTGCTGAACCACGGCCTCGCGACTCGCACCGCTCTGTCGGCCCGACTTCGACGACTTCGACTTTGTGGGCTGTGAATGCCACGAAAGGTCTCAAGCCCAGCCTCCGCATTCTGCCGCGTCTCAATTAAGGCGTCAGCCTGAAATCTTAGCAAGAGGCATTCTTCTCCACAGGCGTGGCATCCTCCTTTGCTCCTGTCCTGCTTGTCCGCACAGAACAGGTGAACGTGAGCAACAGGAGCCGCTTCAAATGCCTGCACCAGGCTCGAAACGTGTGATCTGCGCTTCTAATTTGTCTGCGCCTGGCATCTAAAGGAAGTGCAGCTTGGGCCCTTTTCTTGTCGCCGTGCCGGGCAGAAGCGCAATTTTGCGGGAGCCTTGCATTTGTCTTTGCTTGGCATTTCCCTGCGGATCCTTCCGCAAGCCTACCTTGCCCAACAAGTCCAGCAAGTACTCCGCATGGGAAACCTGGAAAAACCGTTCAAAGAAAGCGCTGCACTCCGTGCGCCACAGCCCTTGCAACCCTACCCCGAGGAACCCACCCGGTTGTGCTCCAATCGCACCCAGCAAGGCACATCCTCGGGGTGATTGAAAGGGCGATGCCGGCAAACCCGGCAACACTGTTCCTTCTTGGATCCAGGCTTCCCCTGGAGCTGCCCGTGGATATACCTTGAAACAAGAAGTTCTCAACATATCCCCACCACACCCCCATGGCAGCCTGCTTCGGGTGCATGGCCAGGGCAGTCAAAAGAGCGGCCATGCCTACCCGTCAGTCTGGCCCAGTGGCAGCTGTGTGTGTGTGTGTGTGCATGTGTGGGGACTTTAAGTTTATTCTTGAATTGTGTGGGAGGGACCACTTTGGTGGACATCGAAAGTATGGGGATGTCACGTCTTCTTCCAGCCACTTTTCAGGGCATGCCCTAGTTCTGCCAATTCACATTCATTTCACTTGATGCATGCATGCATAACAGTGTGTTGGCATCCCAGGGTCCATGGGCCATGAGCATGCTTGACCATGGCAACTGGGTTCGCCAAGACCGGTCGGGCATCACTGGCCGCCGTTTGGCAGTTGATGGGAAAGCTGCCAAAGAACAAGGTGAACACGTCTTCAATTTATTGGGGTCGCTTCTTTGGTTGCCACACAAATCATTCCCACACAACATATGTGTCGCCCACAAGGTCCTATTATGCTGTATGATCGTGCTGGCAGGTTTAGGGTTCTTAGGGTTTAGGTTGAGGGATTTTAGGTTTAGGTTTAAGGCTTTTAGGGCTTAGGTTTAGGGTTTAGGTTTAAGGTTTGTAAGGTTTAGGTTTTGGGTTGCTAGGGTTTAGGTTTAGGGGTTTTAGGGTTTAGTTTAGTGCTTTCAGGGTCTTAGGGTTTGAGGGCTTCGGTTTAGGGTCTTTAGAGTTTAGGTGTAGGGTTTTTAGGGTTTAAGTTTAGGGGTTTTAGGGTTTAGGTTTGGGTTTTCTAGGGTTTAGGTTTGCTTGGAGCTGGCTGTCCGGCGCATCCGAGGCTGGCTTTTCTGCTTTAAGTTTAGGGTTGTGTTGATGATAGCAGTATATAACCAGGAAAAGTCGCTGCGCTCCATGAAGGGGGTATGGAGCATGGAGCTGGGGTGGGGCCCGGGGGGCTCTGAAGTGCATGTTTGCTGCGCCTGCCACGCTTTTTGGAGGTCTCGGGGACCCGCCCGGGTGGTCGCGGGCAACACATACGTTTTGGCCGAAATCATTATTGCATGATTGAATAGTTGATTCAATAAATGGTCTATTCATAAATAGACTGGCCTGCTGAGTCTGAGTCAAGCGCCCTTCTGCTGAATTGCATTGTGCGAGAGGTGGATCTCCTGGCCGACCCGACACAGCTGACCCGACGGAACAAGCGCAAGGCTCACGCCTCAACCGGCTTTGTCTGGCTCCATACCCAGCAAGCAAGTCTCTGGCAGGTGTCGTCGCCTACCTAAGGCACAAGGACATTGCAAAATGCTCATACAATGTAGGCTGAATGGGCAGGCAGGCCTTGTTTTTGTGCAACTTTAGCACTCGCAGGTGAAGACCTCCTGCCAAGGTTGGGGCAATAACCCTTCACAGCCGTACCGGGCTAACTTGGGCAGGCACCTCCCCTACAGGCATTGATATGCCGCAAGCCGTCGATGAGACTTGCACCAGCCTGTACATTCACAACACCACTGCAGAAATTGACTCTTCCTTCAGGCCTCGTCTGACAGTTCATTTTCCGACGCATCAAGCCTCGATGGGGCATCAAGCAGCTCCTCTCCTGTCCCAAGTCAAACTTGGCATCTGGCTCCAAAGAGATCTCCACAGAAGGATCCGTGCAGCGGACCTGTTTTGCACATGACTCGACTTACTTTGCGCACTTGAGGAGCTGACAATGAAGCTCTGGAAGGCAAAGAGCCATGATGCCACATCTGCATCTCTTAGGCCCAAGGCCTAAGCCACACAACTTGATCACGGAGCAACCCGCTCGTCGCGGCCTTCAAGCGCACGGCCAGCCGGCATGCACCGTCGTACCTGCCCCACATCGTTTGCCTCTGCCAGCATTTTTGTCGCCGGGCACTGGAGCTGGCAGAAGCGGTCCCACCAACACGGCCCAACCTCCGCACTTCACTTTTGCCGGCAAGACATGATTCTGAACAGGGGAATGGCCAAAGCTGCGAGCTACAGGTTAGCACAAAACAAACCTGATTTACAAGAGCAAACAAGAGAGACACCGATAGCGGAGCACGAACTATGCACTTTGTTGGGGCCTGCAAAAAACCTCCAGTTCCTTGGGCTGTGCTCACATGATTGGCAAGCTGCAAGTGCCTGGCTTGCATTTCGGCCATCACCCATGGCCCACGAGAAAAAAAGCACCTAGTCACCCAGTGCTATTTGCACAGTATATCAATATTCACATTGTGGCTGTTCGAGAATTGAGGCCACAACAGGAAGATGTGCAATTTATCTGCATCAGGTGATGGTTAACCATTCCATGATTTCCATGTGCAAGGTGCATCCCGCCCTCAAATATGCCTTGCTTTCTTGGTCCCTCTTGCTGACTGACAGCTGTGCCGGCGCGGCGGTTTAACTCATCACACATGTCGGCTGGGAAGTGGAGCAACCGAGGCGAGGAGCGTGGGGCAGCGGAGCACCTTGCTGGGGGATGAGCCGCCCGAACCGAATCTGGACTTCAAGTCCAGACAGCCCTGAAAGGCGGTGACATCCGGCAGCCTGACCTGCGAAGCCCGGACTGGCCCTCCGGAAACCAGTGATGGTCCAAGGAAGAGTTGGGTGTTATAAAGCACAAATGAGAAGTCCAACATTTTGAGACAGGCTGGAGATGCTTGTTTGGCTCGCATCGAGCTTCCAGGCCTGCAACATCTCATGCTGTACTATCAGCTGCTGGCAGGTCGGGAGTTCAATGAGCTTCACCTGAGGTTTAAGGCTTCAAGCGCCACTGTGACTGTGGGCATCGTCTATCATCAAGCAGGTTCTGCAGTTTCATGACTTGGGGAACTTCTGAAGATCGCCCCTGAAAGTTTCGCCTCCCATGCCACGGCATGCTTCTGGTCCAATGAATCATCAGCGTACCCGTTGAACAAGTGAAAGGAGTGCGGTGTGACTTGGTCTTAGGGTAATTTGGAGGGCCCAAAGGGAAAACAAGGGGAAACAACTGTTTTGCTGCTATTAAGAGTTCCCACAGAGAGACAACCCGACCACAGCTGCAACTCGGCCTAGCTTGGAAGCCAAGCACCCTGCCGACTTCACTCGCTGCTGCTCCTCTCCTCAGATCATGGCAGCGAGTCCACGTGGCACTGGTTGACGGCGACCCGACAAAGGTCCCAAGAGAAAAGACTTTGTTGGCCCGACAAAGGCCCCTGATCTCGGAGGGGCCTTTCTTGAGGTGCCCTTAACCCTTTGCAGACATTCGCGGTCAAAGACCTGCGGACAGGCCAAATCGGACGCAAGGCTGTGGCCAGCAGGCTTGCGCTCTGGTGCCTGGCAAGCAGAAATTGGGAGGACATGGCACCAAACGCCCGCGCCTGCAGCCTTAGGCTAGCGGCACGCTCAGCATCTCCATCTCCTATGGAGATCAAATTCCTGAGCGAAATGAATTGTCTAGCGCGCATCCATGCGCTGCTCTGACATCCAGCTGCTGCTCTGAACTCTGTCTGAGCTTCGCGCGTCCATTTCTTACACTCTCGCCGGAACGTTGTGATCCTTGGCAGGTTGAACATGAGACGAACTTGGAGGAAGCTTCTGATTCTCTAATTCCAGTCCAAGCATCTTGAAGGTAAGAGGTGCGTGCAATGGTTTTGCGAAGATCGGGTAGCTCCGAACCTTCGGAAGCAAATGTGAGATGACAACGGCCTGCTTGGCCATTATGCATGCGCATGTTCAAGCTGTCACGTCACGCTGCACCCACCATTTTCCACAATCGCGAACATGGATTGGTATGGCATCGACGCCTTCATCTGACGTGCAACGAGAAGCCCATGGATTCAGCGCAGCCCAAGAGACAACAATACCTATCTAGGGTCAATTCGATCGGATTGAAACAAATCACCTGGCCGTTGTGGCATCGTCTCATACCGGCTGGCGCTCGGCTGAGTCCTAGCTGTACCACGCACCGTCTGTCGCAACTAGTCAGAGCCCGCCATGCTAAGCAAAATCGCGGCATAGTGCCGTGGTCCAAACTCCTCTTGTGGCATGGCCATGGCTTTACAAGGAACCCTTGTAGTTGTCGTCCACTCTCCCGGCTCACCGGGAAAAATCGCTAAACGGTTGTTTTGACCAGGGCAAAAATCAGAAATCTTGGAATGCGTGCACTCTTTGGCGCAAGGTCCTTGACCTCGTGAAGCTTTGCAAAGGTGCACAAGCTACAAATGTAATCGGCATACGCCCAGCATGTTGCAAAGCACCACTTATGGCAGCGATGTGCTGGTCAAGGGAAACGCACTGAGCACAAGAGATGCCGATGCCTCATCAGGAGCTCAGCCACTACCTTCGCACGCGGACCAAGTACTCAGCTCGTGCTTCCATGGAGCAATTGGAAATTGAAAAAATGCGGGGCAACAGGCCTGCCAAAAGGAGATGACTACCTTGGCAGCAACTGCAGTTGTCGATATTCCATGACCGAACTGGGAGGCAAGCCCTCTGCCCATGGCATATCGAAGCACCACCTGGAACCTGAAAAAGTGGCGAATGGAACCAGCGTCAGCGCGAACGACTGAGCAGCTGGCAGGTCCGGCTCTAGAGCTGAGCCCCAGTTGCCTTGCTCCTTGCCAAAGGCACTGTGTTGCACTGTGTTCCTTTCTCTTTCCCACAGAAGCACCAGCCCGAGCAGCGAAGCGCACAAATGCCGCCCTCCTCGAAGCGATCGCTCAGGACTGTGGGAAAGCCGCCTCGGCTTCCTTCACCTGAACAGCGGACTCCGCCCGTCCCGGCCGAGGAAGCCCAATCTGCGCCTGGGTTTGATGTTGAGGACCTCGGAGGGTTCAAAGATCCGGCACTTCGATTCGAGAGCTGAGCCACAGACTCGGCGTCTGATTCCAAGTCCTCAGGCTCTCGACTCGACGCCAGCACGTTCTTTGGATCCCCGGCCTCCTTGGCCTTGAATGGTAGCCTCTCGCGCGGCCTGCACCACACAGATCTTAGGGAGTCGCTAACGGATCCAGGCCTTGGGGCGGGCGGAGGCTTAACCTGGCCAACCGAACTCGTCAAAACCCATCCGCGACAAGCCCGAAGGCCCAACTTGGCAGCGGCACTTCTTGAAGTTTCTTCCCTGCAAGGATCACTGATGCTGCCGAAGCCAATTTGTCCAGGGCCTTGGTTGGGTTGGTTAGCAATTGACCGCAAAGGGTAACCTGCCAAGGACTTGGGGGCAGGGCTGCTTGATCTACGCCCTTAGGGCCCTTCACCCCGGCATCCGCGTCGATGACGTGCCTCGATCCAAAAGTGGATTGCCCCCGGCTGAAGGTACGTAGAATTCGTATTCCATCCAACTCAACAAGCCCAATAATCAGGTTCATCAAAGCTACCTATTGGAGCAAAAGAAAGCAAGTGATGCTCCGTGCAAGTCCCCTAACTACGTTGCTGTCTTGGATTGCCAGGACGCTCTGGCCGGAGCAGACTGCGAGTAAAATGATCCATGAACTCGAGGGGCTACCTGAGCCCGTGCGCGAAACGCATGGAAACATGACGGATCATGACAGTGGTCTGGTTGACAGGCAAGTTGCGGGCAGGCTTCACAGCGACATCTGGCCACGTACCACTAAATCAAGTAAATCCACAAATCCACTTTCATCTGTACGCTTTGCCCGATATCTGCTTGTCAAATGTTGAAAAAACGAAGTTGTCAAGCTGTGCGCCGGGGCCAATGGAAATTGCGAAGCATGATTCTTGGCCAGACGAGGGGTTTCTACATTAGAACTAAACCGTACCTTCTGAGTTGAGCCAAATTCCACGGACAATGGCGGCTGTCTGGCAGCAAGACCCAGCACTGGCTCATGGGGCTGTGCAGTGATTCGACCGCAGGCGAAGATCTAGTAAGAACTTCGAACGAAACCCATCTAGTCCGTATGTTATGCGACATGTCAACGGCATCTTGAACAGCGGTTTACCCGTTTGCATCCCCTTGCACTCGGGCCTGCGGAAGGATCTGCGGCATAAAAATCTGGCAGGACTGATCAACCTGCGAGCAATGCAATGCATGCAAGGCCTCAGCCGACGGCCACTCTGAGGTGCCCGCCCAGCCAGGTGCGCTGTTGGTGATGATGATCACTGAGCCCAGCCTGGCAACATACAGCTCAGCGATGTCAGTGTTTTTGCTTTGCAAAAGGAGTGGCAAGAGTAAAGGCCTTTCACTCAATCTACTCTAAGACAACTGCGAGGCTGCCAGCTGGAGAGTCTGCACCACTGCCTTGGATGAGGTGGCATCCGTGCACAAAAGGCCGTTGGCTTCAAGCATCGCGCTGAGCAAAGACTCGCAAGTTGCCGCTGCACCTCAGGCCTCAATGGCCCACCTGCGTCCGAAGTGACCGCTTCAATTCATGCAAATGTCCGGAAAGGTTCCCGCCACCCGCAAGAGCGTGGATGCGCTCCAGCCATGACCTCAATGGCCAAAGCGCAGAATGCTTCAAAGATAGTGATCACGTGTAAATTTGGGAATCGGAATCACTGAGGCAGAGCGCGTTGGGAGTATGGTGTCATCCCAATCAAAGACAAAGCAGGTCTCCTGGCTGTCAATATAGGATTAAAGGCGACCAAGGCAGACTTCGCCTGTTTTGTTGACGCGGATGGCGGTCTAGGCAAGTCCGTCCCTTCAAGATCCTGGCCATTTCGCACTGACAAATGAGCTCGTGTTTGCAAGCAAGAACTCTGCCTTCACCGGGGAGATGCAGGGTTGAAACCCGTGCTTGTGCATATGTGTGTGTGTGTGTGCTCTGCTGGATTTACGCAAAGCCGGTTGGTCCATGAAGTATGTCCTAGGCCCAAGCACAGCTCTCTCACAAACACGGCGCCTTCTCCCGGTCGGGGCTCCGTTCGCTCACGGCATCCATTAGGAGCGGCCAACACGCAACGGGCCCACTCTTGAGACAAGGAATCCACCGCGTGTCTCTGTTCGGACTCGGTGGCAAGTCATCCAGCCCTTCTCCAGAAATCAACCCTTTGAGACAAGCCGACATCTAACAATCTCAAGATTTCAGACAATAAGATTGCCAGGCCGGTAATCCAAGCAATGGGGCACGCTTGTAGGGCCAATGCCAGCGAAACTCCCTGGGTGTTTGAACAAGAGGGGGCATGGGAAGCCATAAGCATATCATCCTCTTGTGGCTTCCTCGAAGGAACAAGTAAAGAGTAGGATTATGCAATGCCCAGAACAATGCCAACATGATATTGTCAAAAGATCAAACTGTCATGCTGCTGCTCCCGACTGATTTGTACTGACAAACAGTTTCCAAATGTCCCAAGATCACCAAGTCAATCTGTCGGACCCAAATTGACACAGTCTTCACCAGGTTGCCACAAAGCAACCAATCCCGGATGCAACTTCACCACTCGCCCATGTCTCTGGCTACCCAGTACTACTATATAGTAGTGGTAACTGGGATCCACTCGGTGGGAGTGCAGGGTCTGCCCACCAACCGAAAGCCCCTGGCATAAAAGCTACTCTGTTGCGAGCGGGGTGAAACATAAACCAAAGCACAGCACGCAAACAAAATGATTAAAACGACTCGCTTTGGACCAAGCTTGCGCTGCCGTGCATGCATTGAAGTGGTGCAGTCGGGCAGGGCTGTCCTTTTGCGCGGAAGTCTCATTCGTCCTACCTCCAAGCGGAACTCGTTACCACTTTGGGTGACAGGGTTCCGAAATCTCTGACCCAAGACAACTCGTACCTAAAGAACGCAATTAGACTATTTGCGTGCTGGGCATGTTCGTTCGCAAAGCATAAAGAAAATAAGCTACCAATTTTCATGCATCCTGTGCCCAATGCAATGGAATGTGTTGCTGAAGCGTCTAGGCAAGTATCGAAGTGCAGCTGCCATCGTTTCTCACAAGGCAGTGTCTGAGAACTCGCCAACATCACTGCTGCGAGTTGGTTTCGGCGTTCGCCTGGCATCACAATGACACTCCCAGCCTGTAGCCATGTTGGAGCCACTTGGCTCACAGCTTAATCTGTGGCTCTCGTCTCTGCTCCAAATTAGCTAAAGAAAGCCAGCAAGATTTGGGCGTAAAGAGAAGGAATAGGGCACGCTCCTTGCGCACATACTGTACAAAAACATGGCATGGAAACCAACAAATGACAGGACGGCTGTGTGTTTCGTGGAGATCCGCCCTGCGAAGCTTTTGTCAGGAAAGAAATGCCATCTAGGTCTTAAAAGGAAGCTCCACTAGACGGATCTTCTGGCTAACATGTTTTTGCCATGAGACCTAATTTGAGAAAGGAGCCCTTCAAAAAGACTCGTGAATACAAAAGCGGAGCGATGCACTGCTAAAGCACCGGTGCTTTGAAAGTCAAGGCAGTGCTTCACCCTTAAGCCCATTCCTGGTTTGAACGCCATTGCACATTAATCCAATTCCGAATGTTGTTCGCAACAATACTTTCAGCCAGCAACATAGCGCTTCAACGAACGTGTCAATCAATTGCAATTCTAGCTCATGATGTGCAATTCTCTCTGTGAATCCACAATTTGCAGCAGCAGCGTCACATTGCTGACATTGTTTATGTGCTTTGACAAAACACAGCTAGCCAGGTGTTCACAGCGAATTTGCAAGCAAGTGTTGAAATGCTCACGCGATATGTTCTAAACAAGTGCAAGCCAGTTTCGCAGCAAACCGGTCACTGTGGGTCCAGAAACGAGTTGTCAGTAGCGTCCCCTCTGCACCATTCCCAGCCCCGTGTGAAGCTCCAATTTCTCACGTGACCGCCAGATCCAGCAAATCACCCCAGCACCCCACAAAGTCTTCAAGAAAGTGAACAGCCAACCCAAAAATACCGCGTCGCTTCCCTCGACCAACCAGGTTTAATTCAAGTCCCTATTTAATTCAAGTCCCTATTTGGTTGGCTTGGTGTGAAAAGGGGTTTGAAAAGGGTCCCTCATTTCGGCAACCCGCTGTTTGTCCTGGTTCGCTCCCAGGCGCGAGCATAGCAAGGCCATGTGCCTTGTTGTAGCAGCCCCACTTCAGCTTGTTGCGCTGCTCCTCATTTAGCAAACACTTCCCAAGGTTGGGGAACTAGCATGTCCAATGTCTTGGCATAAACCCGTAAGTTCCTTTTAGCCTTATTGCGTTCTCAGTTCCACGAATGCTTTACATACGATTCTGCGTGCCTTCTCAACATCCAGGATACCATCCTGCCACGTGCAACAAGCATGGATGGAGCTCTGCATGACAAAACTGGCTCATCCTTGTACTGCAAGGAGGTATAGGTCGCCCCCAAATCCCGCACCTCTGTTTTCTTGAGACGAAAGCAACAAGAAACACACACACACACACACGCAAGCACAAGCACAAGCACAAGCCCAAGCACAAGCACAAGCACAAGCACGAATGCACCCACCGCACTGCATCGCATCGGATCACATCACGCCACGTCAATTCACCTCACGTCACCTCAACGCAGCTCGTCTTTTCGCGCATCACATCACACTACATTACAGCACAGCACAGCGCACCACATCACCTCCCCTAGCCTCACATACGCAAACACATGCAGCAGGACAGCTGCACGTGAGTACGCACGCATGCGGGCAAACTCCAGATTTCATGATCACACTCCAGTCAACCAACCGCAGCGAGTTGTCTTAGTCTGAGTTTCTGACCAGCTTTGCCAGCCCTGGCGGTTCCAGGGAAGCAGCCTGGAAGTGCACTGGTCAAGCTCAAGCATCGCACATGGCATGTGATGCTGCTTTCCTCACACTCCATGACTTGTGAGAAGCAAAGAGGAATCTTCGACTGTCCCTCCAAATCCTGATTGTAAGCAGACTGGTCCACCTCTACCAAGGCTATCCTGACATGCCCGCTGGATTTGCAGCAGAGCAGCGTGATCGGTGCCCTTCCAAGTCCGGTCCTGACGGGACACTGCGGGGCTGCGAGGAGTGTCAAAGCAAAAAGGGCCTTGGTGAAGTGCCGCTCAATCCAGCGCGCCCCCAAGACCTCAAGCTGATGGCTGATGCAAAGAGCCCTGAGGTCCTTGAGGTGGTGTAAAGTCATAAAGTAATCATGAGTCATGAAGTGCGAAGTGGACAGAAATGAAACGATGCCACTGAATCGTGCGCTCGGCTCGCCCGAGGAGCATAAGCTGCAATGTCGATGGCTATGCCCAAGTGATGACCAGAGAAACCGATCTCCTTCACGCGGCGCCCATATCTTTCCTGCAGATGTGCCATGGTAACTCTGTGTGGATCAATGGTTCTAGATCCCGACCTTGCTGAAATCCCTGAAGGGTTGACCAAGCCCATTATTCCCAGGTAGCTAGGTATTTTGACCTTGGCAAAACTTGCGTTCCTCTCAGGTGTCACTCCGAGGGCTAAAGCTCAAGGGGCTCCTGAAAGCGTCTGATCTGCAACCTCAAAGGACAGTCTCTGCGAAAGCTGCATGACTGAAAGATGCGAAGATTGGTGCGACGCTAAGCCAGGAACAAGCACGTATCCTCAAACTGAGCCGGATACCTTTTCATGGATTTCATCAGCTGGTGATGCTGCAAAAAGATGGACACACTGGTTGTGTTGTAGCATGTTGCAGCTCTCAAGTGCATAATTATGTGGGCCAGGTGCGGCCCTCAACATGAAAATAGATTTGCATGACGCAGCCTCCTGCAACGCCAATCTTTATCGGGAGATAGAACCTCACCATCCAAGATACGCAGAGGTGCAGGTGTAGAGTACCACACGGCTCGTTGCATTGCCCTGCCAGGGCTGTGAGGATGCATTGAGAAGTTTGATGTGGATGCTGCGCCTGCCTTGCCCTTCTCCCAAAATTCTATGATCTTCTCCAACTCTTCCTCAGGCGTCACGATATGCTACGAGAGAGAATACTGAAGCACCAAATCAGCATGTGACATTGCCCTTTTAATGAAATCAGCAAGTGAACGCGAGCTGAGGTAAGGGCTTCTGTTGTCATGCCAGTTGATATATGTACCTGGAAGATGTCGAATCCTGAAGTCCCATTCCTGTACCAGGCCTCCCCCTCGTAGCTGTCGCGCAGGACCTCTTGCAACTCCCAGTTGGTGTTGGACGGTGATCCCACCTATGGGTCGGCGAAGAAAATTTAGTGATCCTACAAAAACGGTGACCAAGCACCCATGACCAAAACAAGCCCGCGGACCATGTCCTTGTCCCTGTGTTTTATGGATTTGCTCACTCAGTTTTGAATTCGCAACCCAAAAGCGAGTCAAGGCCCAGCCCGCGCTCCCGTGCCCTGATCGAGCAACGGTCAGACGTGTCAGAAGGCGCTTGCCACTTCGAATACGGAGGATCTGAGGGTCAACTAGCGTGCCTTGATAAGGGAAGGCCGCAGCGACGCTATCTCTTTGGCAGACGTGGCGTCCCAAACAGAGCAGGAGTACCTTGGGCGCTCAATCTCGCAAGGAAATACTGCAAAATGGCCCTGCTGTCTTCCGAGCAGCTCTATGCCAATGGACCTTGGTAAGCTTTTTCAAGTCAGCAGGATTTTCCACGGCGAGGCGCGAGCTGGCAATGGGCTTGAAGCTCCCTGTGGTCGTCTAGGCTGAGTTCCAGGAATTCCCGGTGTGCACCTGCCAGCCCATGCTGAGGCCTCGACTGTGCCCGAGCCCCGCACCATATGTATTTCCGTAGGAGTTGTGAGGAGCCTCGGCCGACCAACGCGGCCATTTAGGCTTGCACGTAAAGATCAAGCGCTCTCAAGCACTAGAAGGTTCAGGACAAGAAGCATCCACACTGAGCGGATGCAATCTACAACAAATCTTGCTGGCACAAGAAAGGCAGCAGTATGAGAAATTAACGGAGCCCCCATTTTTGTTGACACGGCTAAAAGCCACAAAGCCGAAACTTCGGCCCGAGTGGCAGGATGGGGGGCG